CACTTTTGGCCAACCTAACTGCTACTACGTGTTCTACTCGGAAATAATTTCGCACGATATACTGTAGTGCTAGATGTACGCGCGGGTGAAACTTGCTGTCGTCTGAAAGATTGAAGTTTGACCTTGTAATCTGGGATGTAGCCGAAGACGTTGGCAGGTTTCCCTGCGCCGAGGTGTGCCACATATGTAAGGACGGTTTGCATGGCCATATTATCCATGCCAAGTTCCCGTGTGAGGAGACATTCAATGTATAGTGTGTGACGAGCATCAGGATACATCCCAATTACCTCACGAGACCCTGCCTTGACAACAATATGTCCTCTTCAGGCACGTTGCGGATCACCGGGAATGGGCCGTTCCAGCCTCCGTGATCGTCCTTAGTGGCAGTGGGTCGATGGTAGTCGACCAAATCCCCTGCTGGGTAAAGGCGAGCACCATCGGGAGCCGTTTTAGCCCTGTAAAAGGAGGGAAAGAGCCTGAGAGCACGATTTGAGCTTGGCCACAGCAGTGGCTTGAGATATGGCTTCTCAAAAATAAAAAAAAAAAAAAAAAAAAAAAAAAAAAAAAAAAAAAAAAAAAAAAAAAAAAAAAAAAAAAAAAAAAAAAAAAAAAAAAAAAAAAAAAAAAAAAAAAAAAAAAAAAAAGAAAAAAAAAATTTCTAAAAAAAAAAAAAAAAAAAAACAAAAAAAAAAAAAAAAAAAAAAAAAAAAAAAAACAAAAAAAAAAAAAAAAAAAAAAAAAAAAAAAAAAAAAAAAAAAAAAAAAAAAAAAAAAAAAAAAAAAAAAAAAAAAAGCAAACCTTCCGCACACGACAGCCCATCGTGTCAATGAATGACTCGTGTCCCTTGGGAAGTCCAAGGGTGTCGAGGCAGGAAGAAAGGAGGGCTGACGTCCAGTGTGTGCCTGGCATGGCGATACTCCGTTGTAAAACGTAAAGGCATTAGTAACGAAGATGCCTTCAGCCAGTACTCTAGTGAATACAACAGGGATGTTGTGTCTATTCACCTCTTCCTCAATCATGTGGAGGACGCCTCTGAGAATGCCGTTTCGTGACTCAATTGGAGTCGCGTGTTGGCCAGGCGCTCGGATACGGAGTTCCGTACCCTTGTTAGCCATCATGGCCTTAGCGGCATCATTGTTCAGGGCGCCTTCTCCGTCTGAGTATAAGACTTTGAAGGGTCCACGATCGGCAATCCAGCAGTAGTGGTAGGCGTCAAGTATCGCATCGCGTTCTCTGTCGGAGATTTCTTGGCCTGCTGCCAGGCGAATACAACGGTCCATGATGTGGAATATGGTTCTTTTTTATATAAAAAAAATAGATCCATTTCGCCTTCATCGAGCCAATTACCAGGAAGGCTCACCGAAGGTAATGTTGAGTTTCCTGGACGTTCCCATGCTCTGCATTCCCGACAGGTATCGCAAACTTCTTTGATCTTTTTCAGTCGAACATTGTCCAGTCCCACTTTGTCTACGATTAGCCCCATCTTGGGTTCCTTCGCATGATGCCACCGCAGGTGCTGTTTACGGCGTTCCTTTTTAACGACATGAGGTTCGTGACTACGGAGATTTTGCAGACTGTGTTGGATGTCGAATCTCGTCCAGTCGGGTAGTCGTGGAGCCCCCGAGCCGGTGGAGGCAAGAGGGTTCCTTGTCGCTCTCCGCAGTCGGTCTCCTTCGTCAACTGCATCTGGTGGTGGTGGTGCGCCTTGTAGGCGGCCACGACGGGCCGCTACCTGTGGCGCTTCGCTAGAGGACGCAGAAGGCGTGTTTCCACGCTCGGGGGCGTCTCGTAGCATGTCGTAGCTGCTGGCACCAGATGTCGGATCAACGTTACCGAAGGATCGTGGTCGCGGTGGCCTGGCGCGCGCGCCTTGGCGGCCACCTGAAGCTGAAGCTTGGCCCTCACCAGGTTTAGGTAAGGGTTTCCACCAAGCTGGCACGGTTTTGCCTTCGGGGTCGTGGTCGTCTGGAAATTTAAATGGTTCAGCAAAACGACATTTACCAGGTTCGGTATCGAGGTGGTTCTTAACACCTTTGCTTCTCGTAAGATCCCTCTGGCATGCGGGACATGGCCAATATACAGAGATGGAATCATGATATTTACACTGCGTAGGGTCTCTGTTATGGCTAGGACTGTCCTTTCGGACGTTGTCGATGCATGCCGGGCAGGTGGCCACCTTTGGGATGATACGATCACCGATGCGTCTCATACCTTCGCCCGGTTCAGTTTTATCGGGAAGGTCTGCAGGGTAAGCATGTGCAGTACTTATAGGCGCGTTTCCGCGCGTAGTATCAATGGCTTTCGCCAGGTAGACGGCTTCCACAAAGGCAGACTGCAGTCGTCGAGTGTATTTTTGTGCCAGTGAAAGCTCTTTGTTGCACGGTTGTGCGTGCACATGCTGACCGCTGCATTTGAGTCGCTCAAAGGGTTTAAGAATCGTCTCGTCATTGCTGGTGATATTTGTCGGCTTCTTAATATAGTCACCAGCCGTATCTTTGAGTCCCGTCGCACACTGATCAATGCGTACGGTTATAATGCGTGGTCGGGTGGCAAGTTTATTCCATGGGGAAATATCATCCACCCATGTTCCTGTAGGTTGTTCGCGTATAAACCACCTCCGAGCGTCATCTTGGGCAACAGCCATTTTACCACAGTAAGTTATGTGTGGTAAATCTTCTTTGTGGTGCTGTTCCCAAGTGTTGTGATTGACTTTGTAGTTGTAGTAGGATGGTGGTCCTGTGGTGCGGCAACTGGGTTGTAGCATGGCAACTCGTGCGTAGCATATAGCGAAGTAATGATCTACAACCCGCTGCACCGAGGGGTCTCCCAGTTCGACATATGTGGTCTTGTCTAGGTTGCCTCCTGAGGAGAGTCCCCTTGAGAAGGCAAGCTCTGAAATACCACCCACATCGCCACAAAGCTCCAACATATCCACGCAGTTGTTATGACCATAGCACAGTGTAGCGACTATGCTGCATACGTCAGCGCGTGTGTCGGGCATAGATGTGGGGAGGGCAAGGAACAGGTCATCGTCCTCATCGGAGCTTATCAGCTCAATAGGGACGTCAGTACTCCAGGTCGCCATAAGATCCTGTCCGAGTCCTGACAAGTCGTCGCCGCAATCGTCGTTTCCGTCTTCAACGTGCTTTTTAATGCGGCGAGGCTTGATGCCTGCTTCCTTTTCGGCTTTGAGCCTTTCCTTCTGCTTGATACGCGATTCTGTAGGTAAAACTTGCTCGTTTTGTTCGCCGGTCTGTGTGCCCATTGTCGTGGTTGAGTGGGTACATGCGTCAATCGCCAGAGTCGGGAGGGGGAGAGAACAGTCATCTATGATGACGCGTCGAGGTTTCTGTGGTGATTGAGTAGGCTCGTTTCCGAGCAAGACCGGTTCCTCGGGTTGCCAATACAACCGAGTGCTGATGTTGGCAACCCCTGCAGGTAGTGGTGCATGCCAATCATACCCTGTTGGTTGATCGGCAACTGAGATATCCTGAATAACCGCATTGGTATCCAGGTTAATCGTTACACGTCGGATAACATCAGACCATTTCGGTCCTCCCTTGTTGGTCGTCACGTAGTGATGGACGTTATGGTCCGTGCGTGTATAGGTGTTCAGATATATAGGCACGTTTCCGTGCGTGGTGGTGCTTCCCAGGATTTTGTCGTTCAGGTGATGGATGAGTGTAGTACGTGTCTGAGCTCTCCATTCAGCATGCCGTTGTGGTATCGCCTGTTTGCATGTACATGCCCACAGTTTCGAGCTAATCGGTATTGATGTCGCTACCTGCATATAAGTACCACTCGGTGTACTGTCTTGAATATTGAACCGGATACCGAAATGACACAAACGCATCCGTATCACTGACAACTTAAGATCTGCCAGGGTATCACGTGCTGGAGATAACTTCCAAACATATTCTGGGGGACCGAATATTATGATTTTCATGCGGAATTTCCTGGCTTGTATCAAAAGGTTCTGGATACGTGACCAATGTGGGGCCACTCTCTTTCCTGGACTTCGTACATACCAGTCACCCGGGGTACTAATCCATATGAGAGTGTAATCTCCACTGATCACCGCACCCAGGTAATCTGTGCCCACGCTCGTCATAAGCTCATTGTGGGAAATACGATCACAGATATAACCTCGGGTGCGGAGGTCGGCGCAAGCCTCTCTTGTATCTTCAATGACAAAAGCCCTCTTACTAAGGCAGGTTACCCCGCTGTCCTTGTTACCCCCCGGCTTTTCGGCCAACAGGCAAGACGACGAGGGGGCGACGTCGCCCTGCCATCTGCAAGATAAAGAAGATGTGCCTGTAATGTCTGCCAGCATCTGGGCCCCCCTCAGATGCTGGAGCTCAGCACTGCAGCGCGCCGTGGCCTCAGAGGCGGATTGCTCCGCAAACGCTGTCAGCATGGATGGATTATCCATCAGCTGTTTCAGCGCGTCTTTGGACCTCGCGTCGCTGACTGTCTGCAGCTCACGGTTAGTGTACCCCATCACTATCTTCCGGCGGGGCCGCACAGCGTCCATGGGTACACTTCCACCATGCTGGGCCAGTGTCCTGGCAACGAAGCAATCGAACGTTTCAAGATCGTCGATGCTGTCGCCTCGCATAGTGGCCTTGGCGAGCGTCTCCATCAACTCCTGAGGCAGGTTTCCCTGCATTTGCTCGCGCTCCTGCGCCGGGGTCGGCTCGCCCGTTAGCACCGTCTGGAATGACGTGCTGCTTGAGCTAGAGGCGGGTTGCCCCGCAGCTCCAAAACAATTATCCTGGCGAAAGACCCAACCATAAGCAATTGTTGGTAACGCGTTGTGGGTGCCGCTTTCGGTGGGGCTCCATATGGGGCCACGAAGCGCTGCCTTGGATGGGGGAACCGCATGCGGACTGCGCCACCGGGGCGGGCCTTCGGTGGAGCTCCCTATGGGGCTACGAAACGCTGCTCTGGGTGGGGGAACCGCATGCGAACTGCGCCACTGGGCCTTCGGTGGAGCTCCCTATGGTGCCACGAAGCGCTGCCCTGGGTGGGGGAAGCGCGATGCGCCAACGGTGGAGCTCCCTATGCCACGAAACGCTGCCCTGGGTGGGGGAAGCGCATGCGAACTGCGCCACGGGGGCTTTCGGTGGAGCTCCCCATGGGGCCACGAAGCGCTGCCCTGGGTGGGGGAACCGCATGCGAGAGCAGCCACTGGGGCCTCCGGTGGAGCTCCCTATGGGGCCACGAAACGCTGCCCTGGGTGGGGGAACCGCATGCGAACACCCCCACTGGGGCCTTCGGTGGAGCTCCCTATGGGGCCACGAAACGCTGCCCTGGGTGGGGGAACCGCATGCGAACACCCCCACTGGGGCCTTCGGTGGAGCTCCCTATGGGGCCACGAAACGCTGCCCTGGGAACCGCATGCGAACACCCCCACTGGGGCCTTCGGTGGAGCTCCCTATGGGGCTACGAAACGCTGCCCTGGGTGGGGGAACCGCATGCGAACACCCCCACTGGGGCCTTCGGTGGAGCTCCCTATGGGGCTACGAAACGCTGCCCTGGGTGGGGGAACCGCATGCGAACACCCCCACTGGGGCCTTCGGTGGAGCTCCCTATGGGGCCACGAAACGCTGCCCTGGGTGGGGGAACCGCATGCGAACACCCCCACTGGGGCCTTCGGTGGAGCTCCCTATGGGGCTACGAAACGCTGCCCTGGGTGGGGGAACCGCATGCGAACACCCCCACTGGGGCCTTCGGTGGAGCTCCCTATGGGGCCACGAAACGCTGCCCTGGGTGGGGGAACCGCATGCGAACACCCCCACTGGGGCCTTCGGTGGAGCTCCCTATGGGGCTACGAAACGCTGCCCTGGGTGGGGGAACCGCATGCGAACACCCCCACTGGGGCCTTCGGTGGAGCTCCCTATGGGGCCACGAAACGCTGCCCTGGGTGGGGGAACCGCATGCGAACACCCCCACTGGGGCCTTCGGTGGAGCTCCCTATGGGGCTACGAAACGCTGCCCTGGGTGGGGGAACCGCATGCGAACACCCCCACTGGGGCCTTCGGTGGAGCTCCCTATGGGGCCACGAAACGCTGCCCTGGGTGGGGGAACCGCATGCGAACACCCCCACTGGGGCCTTCGGTGGAGCTCCCTATGGGGCTACGAAACGCTGCCCTGGGTGGGGGAACCGCATGCGAACACCCCCACTGGGGCCTTCGGTGGAGCTCCCTATGGGGCCACGAAACGCTGCCCTGGGTGGGGGAACCGCATGCGAACACCCCCACTGGGGCCCTCGGTGGAGCTCCCTATGGGGCTACGAAACGCTGCCCTGGGTGGGGGAACCGCATGCGAACACCCGCGGGAGGAGGAAGTAACGCGGGGCGCTGTCTCTTCAAAACGAGGACCCAACACCACAGGATGGTTGGGAATCACACCTGATCGACAGATGCCCTGACGGCAACTTCGTCGTCGGCATGATCTTGGAGCCCTCGGGGAGCTCCATCTTGACCTGCCCCTTCCCAAGGAATAGCAGCTTCTCCTGGCCTCGTTCAAGCACAATGATCGTGCGTTTGTCCTGCATACTGTCGAGGCCTAGGATGGCTGGCAGGTCTTTGCCACAGCCTGACACAATGTTCGTTTTGTACGAATCGAGCTGGGTCGACCCCTGGTACTCGCAGGCAATGCTGAATGTGCCTACGGTATCCGCTGGGGCCGACCCTTCTCCCACTCCGTTGATGTTCAAACGAGAGCGGGGCTCGAACGTACAAGTACGGCCGTGTGCCTCGGCAGCCTGGACGAACTTGCGGCTCGTGTTTTCACCCATGATGTTGATCTTCGAGCCTACATCGATGAGGATAGAGTTTCCACCATCGTCCAAGAACGTCTTACTCGGCTGCTTGATGTGCACCGTTTCTGAAGTGTCGGCTGTGCTGTTTGGCGGGTTCCCCGCAGGTCAGTTGTACTCCCTGGCGGGTTACCCCGCATGACGCTGGCATACGGCCTGCCTTCGGCCATACGTACCAGGTCGATGTACTGGAAGTACGACACGTGCTGGACGTGATCGCCACGCTCCTCCCGCCAGTTGGCATACTCATCACGTATGCTCTTATACTGCTCGCGGGTCGTGCGTCTCGTCAGCGTCAGATACGAGTGAAGGGCAATATCCTGCAACCCCTCATTCGCGAGGTGATCCCTGTACTGCAGCCACTCTCCGAACTCCTCGTTCGTCGCTGTGATGTCAACGGCCCTGGCTGCTGTTGCTGCTGTTGCCACTGAGGAATCTGAAAGGTCAAACGACGCACCATCAGTCTCAGGATTGTCGGCGTCCAGCATAAAAGTCGTGTGCGCATTATCCATTTGATTCTGGAAATGCCGAACACGCAGCTCGCGCAACTGATCAGGGTCCAGTGCCGTCTCTGCCCCGCCCCCACTCTGGGGAGACATCTGAGGACTGTTAGGCAGGTTTCCCTGCTGAGGCGCCGTCATCGGGATAAGCTGTTCGAAGTATCCCGTCTCCATCGGCGGCCTCACCTCCTCCGGCAGGTTTCCCTGCTGCTGGGGCTGAACTGTCTGCCTATCTAGCATCCTGGCTGTCATCTCCTCCACCATGCTCCTCAACTCCCGCAGCTCTCTCGCTGCTTGCTCAGGAGTCTGAATGAAGGAGCCGGTCCACGGGAATGATGACGCTATGATGTCAGGTGCTCGGCAGATAGCACATGGTGGCTGCTGAGGATCTCCCTCGCGCTGATTTGCGACATGGCCCACCACGTTTGAATTCCAACACCCCTCATGGAATAAGTGATTACACCTCAAACGATAAACACTTTCCCTGGGCTGAAATTCTTCGAGGCATACCGCGCAGGTATCTTCCATCCCTGTGAAAACTTCCACGTCTGCTGCTCTGGGATATACCCGCCGCTGTCTCTCCAAGACCGTCTCGGAGGGCATGAAGGCTGCTGGGGGAACCACTGATGGATCCAGCACCTCCGGCACTCCGGCAGCCACAGCTGTAGGGACTGCTGGCACGGAGGCTGTAGGCGTCACAGCAGGCGAGTTTCCTCGCAGCGGTGAGCCTCTGTTCCTCACAACTTCAAGCGCGGCTGCACGTGAATGGTCACTGAGTCACGCACGTTCTGCACGGCCTGTCTGCGCCTAAAGCATGCCTGTTGAGTGTGGTATGTCTGCCTGATATAATCAGGCACACCTCTACTGCCAGACGATATCGAATGGGCAGTGGGTTGGACAGCCACATCTGGCGTCGTCGGCGCAGGCATAAAGGCCATGTGCGGATACATGGACTGATCACTGCAGCGCGCGTTAGTGAGGCTGTGGAACTGATCCGCCATTTCACGAACAAACTTGTTCGGGACTCTAGACCCATCAGGGTACAGTGGCGGATCCATGTGTGCTGGCGGTGGCCTCTGGCCCTGTGCCATGCTCGGGTGAGCATTAAAGGCAGGGATAAAGGCTCGTTGCCGAGCAGGATCCCTTGGATTGGGACCCTCAGGCTCCCAGGACCAGGCCGGCCTCCGCCTTTGACCGCTTGGGTGAGGCAGATTATGGCTCTGCACCTGCCGCGCAGCGGCTGCCACCCTCGTACGGTAGTCTTCAGGCACACCAGCGGCAGAGGTATGACCAGCAAACGGTCGCGAATGGCCTGGGGTGCCGGGCAGGTCCCCCTGCTGACTCGTTGGAGTGCCAGGCGGCATCATGTTCAGGAGAGCTGTACCATGCTCAGCCCTAGCCGCTGCGATCCTCTCCATGAGGGTGCCACTCGTGGCAGGGCGACCAGGAGTCCCGAACAGAGACTGTGCAGGTGGCGTCGCCATTGGGGTCATGCCCCTCGGTGTGTGCATACTTGGCGAGGGGCTACCATGCATCTGCTCGAATCGAGCAGGCTCTCCAGAGATGCGGCCGAACGTCTGCGGGTCTCCCTGCGGCTCAGGCATCTCATTTCTGAGTCCATTTATAGGCAGGTTTCCCTGCATGGCCTGACGACTTCGCGTTGCCATGGCGGACATTGCTCCCTGGCCAGCGGCCCAGGGGTCTTGTTGGTATAACCTGTCCGCCAATTGCTCCACCTGTTCAGGGTTCAGAGCGGCCGCTATCTGGTCCAGGTCCGAGGTGCTGATGGCCTGCCAAGATATGGCGCTCGGCCCTTGGCTTGGGGCGCGGCTTGGTGCCGCGCTCCCGGCCTCGCTCTCGGTGATCATGAAGATATGGTGGACCTCAGGCTGGTTTCCCAGCGTGGCAGGGCTGTAGTGGTCCCCGACCTCCCTGTGGAGGTAGACCATGGGAGGGTCGACTCCCTCTTGGTCTCGGGACCACTGGTATTTGACGCTGGCACTGCCAACGTCAGCCCACCGGCCAGGGTTCGAAAGCACGGCAGGGGGAACTCGCACCCGGCGATCCCTCAGGTACTCTGGATTTCGCCAATGCTTCCCCGTGGCAAGGTCCTCTACATGGGAAATGTAGCATGGTTCTATGACACCATTATTTCCCTCAGACAAGAGGACTCCGTTATCAGACCAACAGAACTTTATACCATCTTGCATGGCCTTGCGCCACTCTACGAAGATGATAATGTCAGATTCTGGGTCCCACCCACTGTTCACGGCACGACGGCGGACCGTCGGCACGAAGTGGATGTGCGACCGGCCTGTCCCCTTTTTCTTCGTGTTGTGCTCGGGTCTACAGGACAGGCCGCGCCACATAATGCCTTCGAAGGCATACCACCGAGTGCCATGCATGGCTACCTCGGGGTACGGGGCCGGTCTCCCGGCAGGTTGGTCGCACAGTACAATATAATTGTACAGCGACCATGGAGCTTTCAATGTCCACGAATGCCCCTGAGAGGCGCGGATGAAGATCTCGGGCTCACCGGAGTCCCGCATCAACACCTTGAACTGGAGGCGTTGTTTTTCTTCTCCGTCTGGTTCGCGGACATGAACCACTTCCATCATGATGGCTGCCAGTTGGTCAACCGTGCGACCATATAGGTTCGCATTGATGACTTTGGCCTCGTCATGTCTGGGATTATACCCGTCGTGTCTCGTTTCTCCTGTGTTCCACGGATAATCATTTACGAGCTCCACGAGGTTAATCCAACCATCATGATCATCGAAGGAAGCCAGGTCCCACACAGGATTGCGTGGTTTGTCTGGCACATGTCTGCATATACTGCTGAGAGCTTTACTCAGCTGTTTGAGAGTGTGATTGGATCTAGGGACGATGTTTGCTTGCCTGCATTTCTTCATGAATTCCTCATCCACCGAGCGTATCGGCGGGAGTTTCCGCAGAGCAAGTCTATCCCTGATCACACTCGGAGCCCCACTGGTGAAGGACGTGTCTCCTGGGTGGTGCAGCTGATCCACGGGCGGGTTTCCCCGCACAGGAGCCTCTGTCGCTGAAGAGGCTGCGGCTCCTGACGAGGAGGAAGCTGCAGCAGCAGCGCCTGGCGGGTTTCCCCGCGGTGATCCGCGACTGGCGCTACCCCTGATCGTCGGCACCCAGTTACCCCTAGACATAGCACCTTCATCGGACCTTTTGGAACGGGCCGCCACAGGCGAAGCTGGCGCAGGGGCATACCCCGTGCGCTCGAAAGCTGCCGCCTTCTTGGCAATGGAGCTGCTGCGACTAGGCGGGCGTCTCCGTTCCTCCACAGGGTCCTGAGGTTGCTGCTTGGGCTCAGATACTTGTGCTGGAGTTGCGCCAATCGGCGGTCTCGGAGTTTCAGAGCGAGGCGCCTCCATCTGCACATCTGGCCCAGGATCCTCAGAGCGTGCTTTCGGCCTCACATCCGAAGACGACTTCGGTGCTGGGGTTTCACTCTTAGCCTTCGAATGTAGTGGGGGCGGGGGGTTCTTGGCCCCCTTCATGTAAGTCTTGTTGGAGTCCACCAGCATTTGGCTAGTTGCCTCGCGTGCGCGTTCGTCTGCTATCCGCATGCGCTCCTCGTCCTCCGCAACTCGCTGGGCCTTCTGTTCATCCTTAGATGTCGATTCTGGTTGTTGGGACTGGCTGGAAACGCCGGGCGAGTTTCCTCGCATACCAGGAAGATTAAAGAGCGCGTCTTTTTCTTCCTGGGTCATGGGCACCAGTCCCCCCCTTGGAACCGGAGGAGGCTTATCCTCTTCATCTTTCGGTTCCAAGTGGCCCATGATCCCGAGACGACGATTGACCTCTGCGATCTCGTCCTGTGTCATCGGGATCAGTGGCGGGTGGGCGCCCTCCTTATGAGGGGTTTTGCCCCTGTTTGAGCTCAGACCTTCATTGTTTCCTACAGGGCATCCCGGCCTGTGGTTCTGGAACGGCTGGGAACATGGTCCACGCGCTGCTTGAGGCCTATACAACTTGCGAGCCGCGATAACGTTTCGCAGCTGTGTCCGCACTTCTTCAATTTCAGGACGGCGGATGTTTGTTGCCATTTGATAGCCTCCGCGGATGGCCTTGCCCTGAGCGCCCCTATAGGCAGGGTTGCCCTTGCCGAGGGCCGAATGTTCCCCTTTACGGCGTCTTGGATCATTGTACGGCAGTAGTTCGCCTCCTCGCCTGAGAGCGCGTTCCTTTGGGCCAGCTTGCCTCCACTCACGGGGGTGCCGAGCCTGAGGATGTGACTCTCCTCTGACGCGCGGATGGGAACGAGACCTCCCAGCATTCTCATCAGAAAAGGCTGCCGAAGCAGCCTGAGTAGAAGCCGGCGGAGGCGCCGGCGGAGGCTCCTGTGCGATCCCAGGTGGATCGTCTGGTAAAGGCAGGTTTCCCTGCTGGCTGGAGCTCGGAGAAAATGGCGCTTGTGCCGATGGTGATGGTGCTTCAGGCTCGTCAGGATCAAAGTCAACCTCTACCTCACCGTTAACTTCCATCATGAGGATTGTGACTTCATCCTCGTCTAGCCCGCAACCATCGCCTTCTTCTTCTTCTGATGTAGAACTACCAATGATGATGGCCATTGGCGTAGCCGGGACAGGCAGGTTTCCCTGCGTAGCCGGCATCTGTGCGTCGCTCGGCTGTCCCGGGGTAGGCGGTACGGTTGTCGGTTCAGGCTCGTTGCCGAGCACAGGCTGCCCAGCAATGTTGCGCATGGCCGTGTTATTTGGCCATAGTCCCACCGCCTGGAGACCCCATCCTGGCGGAGGAAGAGCCTGACCGCGCATGGCGATGGCCCTTTCAAGGACATCACGCCATCTCCCTCGGGAGTACATCACATGCCTCTGCACGTCCTCAGGGTGCGCGCTGTCGATGAGGGTCAAGGCTGCCAACACTAACTCCGAGTCATCGCAGGCGTCGGCGTCCTGCAGCATCATGATGCCAGCTTCGATGCTTTCTTGACTCTCGGGATATGCGGTGGTCAATACCTCGTGCATCCTCTGAGGGTTTGCAGTAGTGTGCGTGGTCCGTACTCGCCTGGAGCAAGCGAACCAGGGGGTACACATGGGATCTCTGGTTCACCTGCAATGAAAGCTTGAACGAACGCTTGAGACTCCATTTCTATAAGTTCATCATTATTTCGGGGATAGGTAGGCCTGTTTCCAGGCGGGAGTTCAGGTGGAGGTTGGAGGTTGCGTTCAACCTCGGAAGGCGAGGCCTCAACAGTGATGTCCTCGTCACTGCTTTCGTAGGCCATGATGTTGCCTGGGTTCCCGAACATCCAGTCGAAGAAAGACAAAGGCTGGCTTCCCAGCGTACCGTGATTCACGGGAGTGAGCTCGTTGTTACCAACAACGAACCTGCGGACGTACTCGAGGTAATACGCGTACAATCCATGACCATGCGCCTCGAGCTCGTCGACGTTGTCCATGCAACTGACCCAAGTGTAAAATATCTGTTCCATGGCCTCAAAATCCTGGAGGCTCAGATATTCGATGAATGGTTCACTTGAGCCAAAATGGACTTCGGTCGATCTGCCCTTACCATTTCCCTTCGCTGGACAGTCTCTCACAAGATGGTCGGTACTATCACACTCATGGCACTTTTGAACCTGGCCGTCTCGTCTCTACCTCGCGGGTTTCCCCGCCGACCTTTGCCTTTTCCTGAGGTCTCTCTACGGCCTTTGCCGCGGCCCTTTCCCCCGAAGAATATCTCATCATACTGTTCATCTGATAGCCTCTGGAGGAATGCCGCGATGCCTCGTCCGTTCAACCTCCGACGACCCCGCTTGCCTTTACCTTTTCCTTTGAAGCTCCTCCGTATCCTCCTCCTAACACGTCGCACTGGTTTTCGCGTGAACCTCCTCCACCTCCGTTTAGCCTGTTGTAATGACCAAATTAAGTGTTCAGCACGCTGATTGACAGTTGCCATATTCATAATATCTGACCAATCTAAAGCTTCAACACCGTCGGATGATGCAGTATCAGTGTCGGTGCCGGAGTCGAAATCATCGTCTCCCAAGTAGGTGGACACGCCGTCGGTAAGGGGGTTTGATTCACCCCACAAAGAACGGTGTGGTTGAGGTTCTCTGGAAGGAGGGCGGGTTGCCCAGCTTGGTTGTGGTCGATCCCCTGCAAATTAAGCAGTAGATTATCCGGGATCATCGGCCCATATGCTTGAGGGCCCGTTTCCAGGCTGGGCTTCAGCGGTTAGAGTAGTGTAGGAAATTTCCACTGCCAGATCCTCTTCCCCTTCCAAACACAGATCCTATATTGCCAGGAGACCGTTCTGATAGGTGGCCCATCGAGCGCACCCTCTCCAGCAGCTCATCATACTGTTGTTGAGTTCGGGGCATTTGATGATTGAGTGGCTGTAGGAGTTGCATGGCTCGCTGGTTGCCGACGCCTGAGGCGCGGAACAGGATCGTGGTTAGTAACTGGAAGTTGGGAAGGTCGAGTCCCACCGACTGTGCCTCAAGTCGGGATATTTCGAATCGGGTTAGAGTGACATCGATTCGTTCTCCGTGAGGCACATGGAAGTCGATGAGCTGTGTGCCAGAAGTGAGCTGGCGCTCATCTTCCAGGCGCTCGAATTTCACGCTTAGGAGGAACATGATGTAGGTCACTGGGTCTGTGTGGACCCCTATCGATGTCAGCACCATAGTTTATAATGTCAGGTGGTACCCTCATGGCGAATGTCCTCGCTAGGCCACCTAGGCCGCGTTGTATGGCGGCCGCTTGGGCCTGTGGCGTCATACGTCCGCTAGTGACGTTAAGCCACGCGTTGACCTCATAAACGTACTCACGGAAAGGTACGTTGCCTTGAGGGTCCCAGTCTGGGCCATGTGTTTGCCCATCGGTGCTGTTTTCTCCGCGGCGCATGTGTCCGATTGCTGCCCCCAGCGCGAACCATATGATAGCGAAGATAACCAGCCCAAGGCTATGTGGGTAGGGGTGGTTATTAGGCGCGTTGCCGCGCTGGGGTAGCGCCTTGTCGAGTCGTCGAGGCGCTCTATCTGGCGGATCTCTCCGCCCATGCTTCAAGTATTGCGCTTTGGGCTCGTTGCCGAGCGGTTGGTAGTAGCGCAATGATGAAGTGTATATGGTACCAATGTTGTTGTCTAGACGTCGTACCTCTCGTGTTGCTTCTTGCTCTGGGATAGATCCTCGTAAACGTACTGGGAGTGATAGCGCAGGGTGGTAGGTGGTCACGAGGATCGTGCCGAAGAGTATGAGGATGAGAAGAGCAAAAGCTGACCACACGAGAGTGCGGCCAGCTCCGCTACCAAGTCGAAAGTGAGCCTGGTAACTCAAATAGCATCCGATTCCATGGGAAGCGGATGGCAAATAGCGTCCGGTATCGTACTGAGGCTGCTCAGTAAGAGGAATGGACGGATAAGATAGGATAATATCGATGTAATGATCTTTCCAGCACATAGCGAACACAAGCAGTGTCCGGGCAAATAGGGCGCGCGTGCCTTGAGCCAAAGGCAACGGCGCGCGAGCTATACTCCCGATACTATAACATATCCCAAAGACCTACCCATAAAGTGACTGCATCAAAGGCGCCACGAAAAAACCCTTGCATCACCCCCGACGGGGAAAAACACATAACACCAAAAACTACAAAAACGAAGTGCTGCCGACGGCGAAGCACCCCCAACCGAAACAGCTCAACCCCAAGCTGTCCAAACCTCTGTGCCGACGTCTGCTAGAAAGGCCAATGCCTTCCGAGCAGACCTCTCTTCAAAAACGTCTGGAAATTATTTAAAATGAAGCGCAGATTGGACGCGCGAGAACCTTCTGATCCCAGGGTCAAGATCTGCTTCTGTCAAGAGAAAAGACATGCAACCAATCTAGGAAGGAACGGATCTCGTCCCGCTGCCGTGGCCACCCTGTTCGCGACCGGACAGCTGTGTTCGTGGGGTATGCTGCTGCTGATGCATGCAGGTAATTGAAAAATGCTCTGCCGTGGTCACTCGGCACGCGACCAGGTCCTCAGCACGGCACGGCGATCGTCAAGCTCACACGGGGGGCCCCCTGCGCAGCGGGCCTCAGGCGCAGCTGCGCGAGCGGCCCCGCGACGCCGGGGGGGCGGCCATAGGCGCCCGGGGCCTCGGCGCGGGCCCGCGCACCCTGCGGCGCAGCTCCCGGGAGATGGCACCCGCCCAGCACCTGGCGCCCTCGGCGGCGCCCTCGCCGCCGCCCTCGGCGTCCTCCGGCGCGGGCGCCGCGGCCGCCGCCGTCCCGCGGAGGCCCTCCTCGGAGAGCGCGCTGCGCCGCCTGACGCCCATCTCCCAGGGCGCGCGCCTCGTCCGCTGGCGGGATGCGGTCTGCAGCTCCCAGTACGCCTCGGACCGGAGGCGCTGGAGGGGGGCCTCTCTCTGCGCCGCTGCCATCCCGGACCACCTCCTGCCCGAATGCGCGGCTGGTTCGGGGAGCGCCGGCCCGAGGAGCGCCGGCTCGTCGCCGCCCTGCTGCGGCGCGGGGGCGTCGTGGTCGTCGTCGAGTGGGTCGAAGGTCAGCAGCTCCGCCGAGGGGCACCGCGTGGGGACCGAGCTTTCTGTGGCCGGGGAGCCGGGGGCCTTAGTCGGCTCGGCGAAGGCAACATCGCCGCGCTGAAACGTCGCCATGAGCACGGGCATATGCTGGCAGGGTGGTGGCCAACCAGCAAGCACGCGTCGCGCACAAGTTAGCCCTTGAGCCCTTGAGCCAAAATGGCTACGGACCGTCTGGGAGCTCTCTTGGGAGCCTCTGGGGCCTTCTTGGAACGGTCTTGGGAGCCTCTGGGGCGGTCGTGGAGCGTCGGAAAGCCGAAACAAGGAGAAAGCCAAACAAATGGAAAAAACAATTCAAAATCAACGATTTGGGCCTCTCGGGCCGCACTAGGGCGGCATCTTGAAGCGTCTTGGGAACTTCTCGAGAACGTCCAGGGCTGCCGGGACGGCTGTTTGAGGGCTTCCGACGGCGATTTCAGCCCTCTCAGAGGCGGCCTGGGCCCCGGGCTCCACATTTGTGGTCGAGGTTTGGGCCCCCGGGAGCGTCCTGGAGCCCCGTGGCCCCCATGGGGGTCCGAGGTCCCAATCTGGCGGCCCCAGGTCCCGTTCCCCGATATATCTATATCTATATATATATATATATATATATATATATATATATATATACGTATATATACACATATATACACACATCAGTGTACATATATCGGCATAGGCAGATCGCGTTTAGCTAGCCTGTGCGAGCGTTCTTGAGCGCCTGGCCCTCCTCCTTCTCCTCCTCCTCCTCCTCCTCCTCCTCCTCCTCGTTGCCCGTGTAAGCGGTGCCCAGCAGAGGTCGGTGAGCTTCCGAAGGTGGAGATCGGCAACGACGCCGCGCAGCGCGCCTCCTCCTCCTCCTCCTCCTCCTCCTCCTCCTCCTCGCTCGGGCCTTGCGGGCGGCTATCACGTCACCCGTGGAACGCTCACTGCCCAAGCTCGCACGCTCGCCCCCCGCGACGCGCCGCACAAGCATCGGAGGCGGACTGGTGTGGTCAACCCGCCAGGCGGTGGCAACGGCCACGGCGGCGATGCGGACGGCAGCAGGGGGGGTCTCTTCGAACGTGCGCGCCCGCGAGCGGGAAGAGAACACCCATGTTCTGTGCGGAGGCACACGCCTTCCATCCCCCACTCCTTCTCCTCTTCTACCTGCCCCTCCTTCTCCTTCTCCTCCTCCTCCTCCTCCTCCTCCTCCTCCCCCATCTCCTCCTGCCCCTCTTCCTTCTCCCTCCTCCTGCCCATCCTCCTCCTCCAACTCCTCCTCCTCCTCTTCCTCCAACTCCTCCACCTCATCCACCTCCTCCTCCTCCCCGTCCTCCTCCTACTCCTCCTCCTCTTCCCCCTCCCCCTCCTCCTCTTCCTCCCCCTCCTCCTTATCTTTTCCTTCTGGATAACTCCTCCCTGTCGCACCCCGATGCCCGTCGACAGGGCGGGCAGGGCGTTTCGCATGAGACTTTCTCTTCATGCCCCCGATGCTTCAAGCTGGCAACAGCTTCACAGATGGAACGCGGGCCGTTTGCAAACTGTGGCTCTTGCCTGAACGCCGCGCACATTCGTTTTAAACATTGGCAAGAGCTTCATGGATTGCGGGCGGGCCGTTTTTGAAAACGTTGCTCTCGCCTTAGCACCGCGCACATTCGTTGTAAAATGTGTCAAAAGGAATTTCGCGGATTGAGGGTGGGTGGTTTTCAACATGATGCTCTCGCCTCCGCACCGCGCACGTTCGTTTTTAACCTGTGCAAGAGTTTCAGGGATTGAGGGCGATTCGTTTTCAAACTGTGGGTCTCGCCTTAGCACTGCGCGCATTTTTTGTTTGTTATGTGTTGTTTCTTCCTCTATTCTCTCCATTCAAAAATGTGAAATCTTCACGGATTGAGGGCGGTTCGTTTTCAAACTGCGGCTCTCGCCTCCGCACCGCGCACATTTGTTGTAAACCTTTGCAAGAATTTCTCTGGTTCTCATGATGACGTATCCGGTAATGTTTGGAGCGATCAAGAAGTGTCACTGCGCAACAACTGCGTCGATTCGCGGTGTTGAACTATCAAGAACCATGTTTTGGCACGGTTCAGGATCGCCAAGACGTAACAGTCAGGTTAACCCGTGGCGTTGAAGTCCTGAGAATGGTGTTTCGCACGAACCAAGGTGTTCGCACGGTTGCCCCCAAACGGGGAAATTCCAGCAGCGGGAATGGCCGCTTGTAGGGGCCTATGAAAATGGACCTTGAAAGGAGTCTTTCAACATCGTTCATGGATCCTGGGTTTGCACTGGTCCTCCTCCTCCTCCTCCTTTTCCTCCTCCTCCTCCTCTCCCTCCCTCTCGGAGAGGAAAGCTGGCCGGCGCCCCCGAACCTCCGTGGCCAAGCAGGAGCGGGGCCGGGTGGACCAGGAGGAACAGCAGCGGGAGGGGCGGATGGGTCAGGGGAGGGGAGGGGGTGTTGTGGGGGGGCTCACCATCAGCTGAGCCAACGCACACGCACGCATGCGCTGAACCTGACCCAGAGTCCTGAGCCTCGGAAGAGGAGGGAGGGAGGGAGGGAGGGAGGGAGAGAGGGATGAGGGTGGAGGAGGACGGAGAGGACGAGGAGGAGGAGGAGGCGGCGGCGGCGTTGGAGGAGGGGGGGAACAACTTCATGCAGCTGCAGCGCCAGGCGTAGGACCCCCACGCCGCGCCGGGCCAGATCGGACCGCCAGGCCGCAGAGGATGATAATCAAGAGGAGGAGGAAGAGGCGCACCAGTGTAAATCCAAGGCCCATCAACGATGTTGCAATACACCTTCCCTCCGAACTCCCTATAGGTCTCTATAAGGTTTCATTTTCACTGAAGTGCCCCGTTGGAAAACAACTGTCTCGAAAGCAGGAGCCGTGCCAGAACACCATTCCTGGGACTTCAACGCCACAAATCAACGCCACTGTTGCGTCCTGACGATCTGAATCGCGCAGAAACGCCTGTCTTGGGACTTGATCCCTCTCCATAGGCCCCTACAAGGGGCCATTCCAACTGATGGAATTGCCCCGTCGAGGGATAATCGTGAATATCTTGAGGCGTGCCAAAACACCATTATCGAGTTAACCTGACTGTTGCGCCCTGGCGAGTCTAAATCGTGCCAGAAGGCCGTTGGTGGGACTTCAGCATCGCAGATTAAAATAAACGTTGCGCCCTGACAGTCCTGAATCGTTATACATCACCTTTTCTGGTGAACTAACCATGAGAACCAATGAAACTCTTGAAAACATTTAAAACGAATGCGCGCGGCGCTGAGGCGTCACCCACAGTTTGAAACCAACCCGCCCTCAATCCGTGAAGGACTTGCATTTTTGGGGGACGAGTTCGCGCGGCATAAAATCGAGAACCACATTTTGAAAACGAACCGCGTTCCATCTGTGAAATTCTTGCAAATAATTGGAACGCGTGTGCGCGGCACAAAGGCGAGAACCACACATTGAAAACGAGCCGCCCTCATTCCGTGGAGTTGCTGCAAACTTTTAAAACGAATGTACGCGGCACTGAAGCGAAAACCACATTTTGAAAACCACCCGCCCCCGCGGCGCAAAAACGAGAATAACATATTGAGAACGACCCGCCTAAAATCCGTGAAACTCTTGAAGTTGGTTGGAACGGATGTGCGCGTCGCGTCAGGCGAGAACCAGATTTTGAAAACCACCCGCCCTCAATCCGTGAAGCTCTTGCAATGTTTGAAAAGACTGTTTGCGGAACCAGCCGCCCTCAATTCGAGAGACCTTTGTCATTTGTTTGAACATCGATGTCCTGAATGGTGAGCATGTCTCGTGCGAAACGCCCGCCCGCCATTTCGACCGTGCTCGGGATGCGACAGGGAGGAGTTTTCAATATGGACAAGGAATGGATGATGAGGGGAGGAAAAGGGAGGGGGAACGGAGGAGAAGGGATGGGAGGAGGGAGGGAGGGCAGAGTAGGAGGCGGAGGAGGAGGAGGAGGAGGAGGAGGCGGAGGAGGAGGAGGAGGAGGAGGAGGAGGAGGAGGAGGAGGGGGAGGAGAAGGCGGAGGAGAAGGCGGAGGAGGAGGAGGAGGGTGCACCCTGCGCTTCGACATCCAATTCGCCACAGCCCCGTGCGGCACCACGGGGACCTCGCCAGCCACGCTCCTCCGGGCGGCCGGGGGGGAACGGGCGGCCGTCGCCGCCACTGGAGGGGAAACGCCCGGTGGGCGGGCCAGGGGCGGCGTGAGGCGTGGGGGGAGAACAGGCTCGAGGAAGCGGGCGCGCGGAGCGGGGGAGGGGGATGGCGAGGGGGAGTCCGAAAGGGAGGAGGAGGAGGAGGAGGAGGAGGAGGAGGAGGAGGAGGAGGAGGAGGAGGAGGAGGAGGGGGGGAGGAGGAGGAATCAGAGGAGGAGGCCAAGAGTGGGGAGGAGGAGGCAGAGGAGGAGCAGCAAGAGGAGGAGGAGGAGGAGCAAGAGGAGGAGAAAGAGGAGGAGGAGGAGGAGCAGGAGCAGGAGGATGAGGAGGAGGAGGATATCTAGGGCATCAAGCATGGCAACGCTGCCCGATCCCATGGAGGTGTGCGAGGCCACCAAGGGGAAGTCAGCGGGGGGGCCGGGACTGGATCCGACCAATTATGGACCGACTGACCGCGTGGAGGACCGGGTGGAACATCGCCTGCACCACGAAGAAAAAAACACCTCCACGACCTGAGCGGCGGGGCTCACGACGGGGCCGACCGACCGCGTGGAGGACGGGGTGGAACATCGCCTGCACCACGAAAAACAAAAACACCTCCACGACCTGAGCGGCGGGGCTCACGACGGGGAAGGGCCCCCACCGCCCGCCCGCGGGAGGTGCGCGAGCGGCCGCCGCGCCCGCTCCCGCACGACCAGCTCCTCCGCGCCCGCGCGCACGAGCTCCGCACTTCGCGCAGAAGAGCTCCCACGGCCCGTCCACTGGGAGCGCGCATGGGGCCCGCCGCGCCCACTGCCGCACGGCGAGCACCTCCGCGCCCGCGAGCACGATCCCCGCCTCGTGCGCGACCGCCTCGCTCGCGCAGGCGACGGACCCCATAGCGCCGCAGGCCAACGCCCCACAGGTGGGACCGTCGCCGTCGCCGTCGCCGTCGTCGTCGTCGTCGTCGCCGTCGTCGTCGTCGTCGTCGTCGTCGTCGTCGTCGTCGTCGTCGACTCGCCCAGAGGCGGGCCCCACCCCACCCGCCGCAGGCGCTCGAGGCGCTGCAAGCTCAGCAAGCCGCGCCGCAGCGAGGGCTGCCGCAGCAACAGGCCGCCGAAGACCGTGTCTGGGTTCACGCTGGGAGCAGCTCCCCCAGTGTCCGCCGCCGCGACAGGGCCGAGGGGCCGCGGCAGACGGTACGCCCTCCATCCCATCAGCAGCAGCAGCAGCACCGTGGCCAGCAGCGAAGGAGGAGGAGGAGGAGGAGAAGGAAGAGGAAGAGGAGTACCAGTATAAACCCAAGAGTCTTCAACGATGTGGGAATAAACCCTCCTCCAAGCTCCCTCTTCTTAGGCCGCTGCAAGCGTTGATTTCCACTGAGGGAACTGCCTCGTTGGAGGACAACCGTTTGAAGACCCTGGTGCATGCCCAAGCATCGTTCTCAGGATTCCAACGCCACGGATCAACCTGACTATTGCGTCTTGACGATCCTGAATCGTGCCAAAAGGCCATTCCTGGGACATCAACACCGCGAATCAATCTATCAACGGAACCCTCATCATCCCGACTCGTTCCAAACAAACAAATTCCGGTTCGCTGATCATGGGAACCCGTGAAACTCTTGCAATTGTTTCAAACTAATGTGCGTGGCGCTGAGGCGAGAGCCACATTTTGAAAAGAGCCGCCCTCAATCCGTGAAGCTCTTGCAATGTTTGAAAACTGATATGCGCGGCGCTAAGGCGAGAACCACATGTTGAAAACGACCCGCCCTCAACCCGTGAAACTTTTGCAATTTTGAACACGAATGTTCGCGGCGCTAAGGCGAAAACCACATTTTTGAAACGACCCGCCCTCACCCCGTGAAGCTCTTACAACATTTTACACCGAATGCGCGCGGCGCTGAGACGATAACCGCATTTTGAAAAGGAGCCGCCCTCAACCCGTGAAGCTCTTACACATTCCAAAAAAGGAATGTTCGCGGCGGTGGAGGCAAGAGCCTGTGAAACTGTTTTCAAGTTTAAAAGATCAGGGTCATAAGTGGTGAGGAAATCTCTGGCGAAACGCCCGGGCCGCCTTAAAAGCTGCCTCGGCGTGCGACAGGGAGGAATTACTCATAAGGAGAAGGAATGGAGGAGGAGGAAGAGGAAGAGGAGAATGAGGAGGAGGAAGACCAGTGTAAACCCAAGAGTCATCAACGGTGTGGGGATAGAGCCTCCCCCCTTCCATGCTCCCTCTTAGTAGGCCGCTGCAAGGGATCATTCCCACTGAGGGAACTGCCCCGTTGGAGGACAACCGTTTGAAGACCCTGATGCATGCCAAAGCAGCGTTCTCAGGATTCCAACGCCACGGATCAACCTGATTGTTGCGTCTGGACGATCCCGAATCGTGCCAAGAGCCAAGAGGCCATTCCTGGGACTTCAACACCGCGAATAAATGCATCTGCTGCACCCTCATAATCCCGACTCTTCCCAAACAGACAAAGTCCGGTACGCTGATCATGGGAACCCATGAGTTCGTGAAGCTCTTGCAGCATTTCTAAAAAACGAATGTGCGCGGCGATAAAGCGAGAACCACAGTTCGAAAGGAAAGGCCATCAATCCGTGAAGCTCTTGCAACAATTTGAAAACGAATGAACGCGGCGCTAAGGCGCGAACCACATGTTTGAAAAGGAACCGCCCTCAATCCGTGGAGTTCTTGGAAAGTTTCAAGACGAATGTTCGCGACGCTAAGGCGAGAGCCACATTTTGAAAACGACCCGCCCTCCATCTGTGAAGCTGTTGCCAATGTTTAAGTTTCAGGGGCATAAGTGGTGAGGAATCTCAGGCGAAACGGCCAGAACGTCCTGGAAACGGGCTTCAGGGTGCGACAGGAACAAACTATTTATAAGGAAACAGAGCTGAGGAGGAGCAGGAGGAGTATGAAGAGGAGGATGAGGAGGGAGCAGAGAGGAGGGAGCAGGAGGAGAGGAGGAGGAGGAGATGGAGGAGGAGGAGGAAGTGGAGGAGGGAGGAGGAGAAGGAGGAGGAGGAGGAGGAGCAGGCGGACAGGGATGAGGAAGAGTCGATCGAGGAGGAGGAGGAGGAGGAGGAGGAGGAGGATCACGAGGAGCGGGCGCAATCGTGCCGAGCGAGGGGGGAGAAGGGGGGGGGGGGCGTCTCAACCGTCCAATGCTGCAGCTGCCGCCTGTTCCTTGGCTTCTGTGGGGATCTCACCCACTTCCACCGCGCTGGGGCACCCAGCGAAGGAGCATGGGGAGGAGGCCCAAACTCCGCTAGCGCGCTTGCAGCGGTCGGCGTGTGTGCTTGCTATGCGATGCCAAATTAGTCACAGCAGCGAGCGCGAATGCAACACTATTCTGAGAGGCTGGAGAAGAACACTACGCACACAGTACTCACGGGCTTCAAGCTACACTCACACAAGCCCTGCATGAGATGAGATTGTCAATTTGATTTCTGCTCCTCGGTCGATGTCCTACTGCGACAGCAACTTGTACACAAAAACCATGGCACAACTGCGGGTAGGGTTGGTAGCACCGGCCATTACCAAACAAGTACTGTAAGCATTGCAATGAGCAGCGCCAATCCTGACCGTGCCTTTGTGTGTGGGAGCGGTGCTGTGGGGCCAGAGCTGAGAAAACAGAAGCGGCGCACAACGGATCCCAACGCTCTGCCGGATTTAAAACCAGGAGGTTGCCGGCAGGTGCGGTTTGCTTCACTTTGGGAGCATAAGAATCGTAGCCCTTAACCATGGTTCAGCGGTCCCAGGGATCTTCTGGGGCGGCAGCATCATCATTGACTACGCCCTTGACAACAATGAACACTTGCACACCACTGAGAGAGGACGAGAACGAAGAAAGAGAACGGAGAAAGAGAACGGATAACTGAACACTTGCACATTACTTGCACATCACATGGCCACCACTTCCCGGAGAAAGAGAACGGACGGCTACGCATGCGGTCAATGTTGCAGACGAGAGTCGCCACTATGGAGTCTGCCCATTATTCTGCAGAATCCCGCACACTAAGAATGACCTTGAAATTCGCCCGGACGCCCCCCCTTAGATGTTGTAGCTCCAGCTCAGACCTGTGGCATTGTATCCCAGCTGACCAAGAGCGGCTCACACTTCCTCCCCAGTCGTCTCTCCTTCATGGAAGGCTGGGAACGAACCGCCCAACACGTCATCGGACTTGATACCCAGAACGCAGCAAACCTACCGTGGCAACCGTCATTTTCGTTTGGTCGACACGCAGAACAATCCTTCACCGAACCATCGTCGGACAGCGTTTCGAGGTCAAACACATCTTGGAGAGAGACCCCAGCCTCGTCTCCCACAGTGTTAGCAGGGTTTGCGGCACTGGCCGATCCATCAAGGACAAGAAGCATAACGATCATCATTGTGAATTCTGTGGCCAAATGGCTTGGGCCAACTTTCCGACGCAATAACGGTTGGTGCATGTCGGGCACTTGCGGCGGCACGGCCGCTCCCTGCGAAGCCTTCGTGAAAACCACCCGACGCCTCGAGGCCACCGCGCGCTCACGGTTCGAGGCCGCCGCGCCGTCCGTGCAGAACGCCGTGCCCGCGTCCAGATCTGCGGGCGGGGCGCTCCGTGGCATCCGCCTCCTCGGCCGTGTCCTCCCCACCACCCTCTCGCCTTTCAGCGCGCCGAGGGGGGGGGAAGGCGAGGGTGGGCAGGCCTTCTCACACGGCGGGGCGGCCCTCGGACGCCCGCACGAGGGGCAGAATCGCGAGGAGGCGCAGGCGAAACGGCCCAGCACGCCTCGCCTTCCCGCCCCGCGGCCAGCCCTGGCGCCGGGGTCTCGGAGGGCCAAGAGGCGGGCGCCAGCAGCCAGCATCAGGATCGGAGGTGCTTCTCCACCGAGGCAGGATGATCCCGATCCCAGTGGTGGTGGTCATACGCGGGCTTCCCAGGTTGTCGAACTATTTCCATTAGCGTCAATCTCTAGTGGCGGTGCTCATTGCCAAGCCTCCAAAGTTGAACAGGGACCGACCGTCCCGGCATTCCTATAGTCCTACCACGAAATGTTCTTAGAACCAACAAATTCTCTAATTATTCAAACCATTTTCTTAGGAGATATACCCGATGTGTTAAAACAAAACAGACTCCGCCAGAAATGTTGAAAAAAAAAAAAAAACATTTCCTGGGAACCACAAAGGTTCTTAGAACATTGTTTGGTAGGGCTGTAGGCGAACCGCCACTGCTTGACTCCAAGGGTCACCCAACTTCTGGGGCCGCCCAGCCCCAGATCCGTTCAGCCTCGGTCCTCCCGGGGTCCATCCTGACCTTCAGAAGTCGGGCTGGGCGAAAGGGGGGGATCGCAAAAGGGGGGGTTTGAGAATCAGCTCACGTAGCTGATTATCCCGGCGCCTCCCGGCGCTGGAGGCGGCCATGTATCGAGGAATGGGCCCCTCGGTGGGGCCGAAACCAGCTGCATGCTGCAAATTTCGTATCCCCCCCCCCCTCCCTATTCCCCCTTTCGTCCGGCCCGGAAAAAAGGCCCTCGTCCGAGGCGCGGCGAGGCGTCGGCCCGAGTGCCGAGAGCCCCCCGCGGGCCCTGCAGCAGCTCTGGGCGTGCCGGGGTGGGGCCCGGCAGCCGCGGCCGGAGCCTCGCCGCCCAGCTTCGCGGGCGGCGCGCTCGCGCGGGGCCCGCCCTCCCGGCTCTCGCTGGACGCTGCCTGCCCTCCCCCGGTCCTTCTCCTTGTACATAACTCCTCCCTGTCGCACCCCGAAGCCAGTCGGAATGGCGGGCTGGGCGCTTCGCCAGGGACTTCCCTACCATGTATGATCCAGGAGCTCAGAGATTGGCAACCCTGGAGGGCGGGCGGCTTCCAAAATGCGGCTCTCGCCTTAGAGCCGCGCACATTCGTATTGAAGCTGTGCAAGCGTTTCACGGATTGGGGGCGGGCGGTTTTCGAACGGTGGCTCTCGCCTTAGCGTCGCGCGCATTCGTCGTACAACTTAAGAAATTTAAGGATTTATGGCGGGTCGTTTTCAAAATGTGGCCCTCGCCTTAACACCGCGCACATCGCCGCGCACATTCGTCTTAACAAATTGCAGGAACTTCACGGGTTGAAGGAGGCTCCTTTTCAGCATGTGGCTCTCGCCTTGGCGCCGCGCACAGTCGTCGTAGAGCGTTGCAGAAGTACACCTGAGAAAATCCAAATAAGTGGATAATTTTAAAAATAATACTATGGATTTTGAGATCGATTGTGAGATCGATAATGAGAACGATAGTGGAATCGATAGTGAAGACGATTGTAAGGTCGATCGTGAGACCAATAATGACATCGATTCAATGAGATCGATAGTGAGATCGATCGCGATATCGATCATGCGACCTCTAGTGAGATCGCTTGTGAGATCGGTAGTGAGATCGATTGTGAGATCGATGGTGAGATCGATAGAGAAATGGGTAATGAGATCGATGGTGAGACCGATCGATAAGAAGATCGACCAAGAACCGGGGAACCGGGGAACCTCGCCGACCTCCGAAATCGGCCCGGAACCCTGAACCCGGAACCCGGGACCCCAGAACCGGGAACCCGGAAACCCAGCGTGCGACCAAAATCGGCGGGAAACTTTCGCCAAATCCTTCAACTTCTGCGAAGCCCCCTACGGTGCAAGCACTGACTGGGGAAGATTTGCGGACGCCCATGGTCAAATTACAAGGAATGGCGCTTTGGAGCGATCCAGGATTGTCAGGGCGCAACAGTTACGTTGATTCGTTTTGTTGGAATCCAACGGGTGGTGTTCTGGCATGATTCAGGATCGTCAAGACGCAGGAGTCAATTTAATTCGTGGCGTTTGAATCCCGACACTAATGCTGTGGTACGCTTCAGGATTTTACATCGTTGATGCGTCTTGGGTTTGAACTGATCGGTCGTCGTCCTCCTCCTCGTCGTCGTCCTCTCTGTCCTCTTCTGCATCGTCGTCCTGCGCTTCCTCGTGTCGTACTCGTTCTCCTTGTTCTCCTCGACCTCCTCTTCGTCGGCCTCCTCCTCCTCTGTTATTTTCGATCGCATCCCGCCAGCGGTCTCAGGGCCGCTGCAGACTCCCCAGGTGGACTCTGCGGAGCTATCCCAGCCACGAAACGACATCTAAGTCAGCCGTCAGTAAACTGAACCACCTCGTCGTCGTCGTCCTCCTCCTCCTCCTCCTCCTCCTTCTCCTCCTCGTCCTCCTGATCCTGCCCGCGTGCTCCCGAGATGAGCGAACATGTTCATCTGCAGCTCGGCGTTCGCGCGGCCTGCGCGCGCTGCGCGGTAGCCAACCGCGGCAGTCCCCATGTGCGACGGTGCGGCGGGACTGCCGTTGATGCAGGAACTAACTCATGCAGCAACAACATCTGCAGGGACAGAATTGAAATATCGATTTCTGAAGCCACCCGAGGTGCCACCGATACCCTGCCAAGCGCCCCTTTACGAAACCTTCCAATCAATCCCTCGGGCCTCCCAGACATTGCACTGGCCACCCCTTGGCCTAACAGCTTGTTCTACGCACACGGCGGGAATGAGGGGGGGGGGGCTGGCCTAGGCGGAGAACCATTGACCTCGAATCGGCGATACATCGCCGATAGATCGGCGATAGCCCCTCAATAGTGAGACCAACTTCCTGTGCGGAGTGGTCTATCCGGCCCCTTGGCGATGATGAATGGGCGATGCGGGGTCCATGCGTCCCGTTCAGCCCACCCTCCCCCCTGACCCACACATGCGATGTCCTGATATTTTGAATACGGGGTCATTGGAATTCCCGATCCTTTCCGCGGGAACGGCTCTTCATACTGAGTAATTTTTGACGGTCCCAGGGTCCAGTAAGGGCGCCCAGAAGCGGAAAACGGTGGACCCCCCTCCGTCCTGTTTCTTTTCTTTTTAAAGACGCGAGCATGTCTAGGGACACTCTCCCGATAAATTTCACGGAGCAGTTCTTAGCCGCACAGCCTTCTGTTCACCTTCGACGACTCCGAAGGGCGTGGCTTGCAAAGGGTGTGGTTTGCAACCGGCACCCCGGGAGATACCCGATTGAGCTCTCCGCCGAGCCCCGAAGAGGCACGAAAAGGACAGCGTCGTACCCCCCAGGCCCCAAAGGTGCTGATCGCAAACCACACCCCAGCGTAACCATACGGCATGTTCGTGTTGTGTCGACCCTGGCGTTGGCTCCTGACACCGCGGGGATCGTTCAACCTTGAATATCGACCGTCTCCAAAACGTCAAATCGATCAACGTTGGCCGATTCTGGGTCTCCGGCGGCATTCAACGTCGAACGCCGTCGACGGGGTCGCCGCCGGTCGACACAACGCGAATCTACCTGAGACGAGGCCAGGACGAGGATAACATCGGCTGGGGATAAATCGGGAACCTTTGAGATCCGGTGGCTCTGGAAGATGCATCGGGCGTCGCGGCCTTCTCAAAGCGTTCCAGAACGCTCTGAGAGCGTCCCGGAAAGCTCTGGAACGGATTGATCCTCGTTCTGGCATTGCCATCGCTCGGACGTCCATTCCCCGCGCATGTTTCGTTTTCGTGCGTTTTTTTTGTTGTTTCGCAGGCTGGCCCAGGACACTCCTCAATGATCCCCGCCAATTTTTTCCCTCTCGGAAGAACGAAGCACCAAGTCTGCTTCTTCGCTGCCCGCAGTGGAGCGTACACCAAGACTGGACGAACGCATTCTGTGCGCAACCCCGACCGACGGCCTGCAACCTTTAGCATAAGACGCAATGAAGGCCAATCAATCCCCGCCAAGAAAAAAATGCACATACCCGAGTGACACCAAGTAGCCCCGCCCGACTGGTGCATCATTGCCTGGTGCAGGGAGGGATAGGAGGGGAAGCGAGGTCTCCGGCGCGGCCGGAGAATAACAGGAGCCCCATCCTCTGGACATGGGAAACGAGAGCCCCATCCTTAGGATATGGGGGACAGTGCACTTAAATCGGGCCTGTCCCTCGACAGGGGGAATATTCAAAAATAGTTCAAACATAATCGGGGGACTATTTTTGGAACATGTTTGACCATTTTGGTATCTTTTTCAGCGTATTTCTATTTTTTGTCGAAAATCCCCCTGTCGGGGGAGGCGCCCGACTTAAGCACATGCCCGAGCGACACCAGGCAGACCCGCCCAACGGCCGTAAGGAGGGAGGAGGGAGGAGGGAGGAGGGAGGAGGACGAGGAGGAGGAGGATGAGGAGGAGGAGGGAGGAGGGAGGAGGAGGGAGGAGGCATGAGGGAGGTGATGTGATGCGACGCTCGGCTTCGCTGTCTTGCGTGCTCGTCCCGAAGGGCAGACCGGTGGGTGGCGCATGGGACCTCACGAGGATCCACCAGTTACGCCACCACCAGCCTAATCCCCAAAATTGAAAAGATCGGGGGCCCGAATCCCATTGGGCTCCCCGAAGAATGTGCCCCTGAGCGTGCCTCCAGCGCCCCACGGAGCTCTGAGTGCTTGCGCTTGTCTGGCGCGCTCCGCGCGCCTAGCTCTGGCTGCCTCTCGTTTTGTCTCGATGTGGGCAGGCTGCGCCTCGCTCAAGACTGGAGGTGCAGGCGGAAGGGGGACAACAGACGGCGTCGACGACGTCGGAGGAGACGGGAAAGGGGGAGAGGAGTGTGACGGGCCAAAATGGCCGTCTTGGGCAATAGCTAGAGCTTCCGCCCTGTCTGCATTCTCTGCTTGCGTATCGATGTAAGGTTGCTCCTCCTCAGCTTCGCAGTCGGCCTGCTGAGCTGAATCTCAATCTGCTTCAGAGAGAAACCTGTGCTTCTCAGGGTCAGCTCGTTTGCGATTCTGCTTCTGGGCTCCACAGTCCGACGGGGCAAGGAAACGCGAGTCGGCATCGTCGCCCCGTGGAACTAAGAAATCAAAAAGAGCACCCAGCACCTCGGGAGAATCACGAGAAAATTCGAAGTCGGCATCCTCGTCTTCAGAGGCAACAAATTGAGCCACTGAAGCGAGGATCGCGCGGTCCAGAGCCCTTCAGAGAACCGAAGGGTAAGTTTTTTCCCGAGGTGCGACTTGTTACACTCCTTGCCTAAGGGAGTGATGTGCGTGCCTTTCTCATGCGAGCATCTTCCTGAACCAGGAGTGCTTCTAAGCTCCCCGGCCAAAACTGGCATGCGGAGCGAGAGAATTCTTGTGGGAGCACGGCCGACACTGGACATGTCCGTACCCTGTGGCCAATGCTCGCATTGGTCGACATCCGTAGTGGAGGCGACTGGGGCCGAACATAGGGCAACCAACGGTGGCCAACGAAAAGAAGTAGGGGCAGAGGGGGTCCAAGTGGCGGGGATGGGGTGCTCGAGCCATCCGCTGGTACCCACCTGCAGATGGACAGAAAGCAGAAAAGTAATGGCGAACAAAAGATAGGATCGGGTCTCAACCTGCAAGTGTTGCCTGGGGGTGCAGCATGGGGTACCCCAGACATGTTCGCGCGTCCTTAATGGGTGGGGGCCTCCTTCGCACCACCTCGCTGCAGACCAAGTCTCGCCAGGCGGCGCCCCCCCAGTGTTGAGGATCCTCCTCGCTCTAATGTACTCGGCCCAGTGCTCGAGTGCTTGGGGCTGGGTTAAGTCGCCTCTAACCGCATCGATAGCAATGTCGAGGGATAAACAATACACTGAAACGGGGATCATCGAGAACAGCTCGATTTAGGTGCCACTGGATATCTCCAGTGCGCCTCATGCCCGAACAAACATTAAGCACCAAAAACTCCGATCGTCGAATGCGATTCGGAATGTTTGTGGCCGGTTCTCTTTGAAAATCCTGAGGCCGAAAGGGCCTTAATCGACCCCCCACAAGCGACGGCCCCGAGCGGGCCCCGAACCCAGGAGCCCCCAAGCCCACGTACTGGGCCGCAGCTTCCTCCGAAAAAACATAACTGGTTTCCACCAGGACCGCTCTGGCCTCAGTGTCAGAAAGCAAGGCAATAACGTTTTGAGAGTAACCCAAGACACCGTAACTTCCAGATGTAAGACGCCCAAGAGCCCCATGGCGTGGGAGGGCCCACTGGTGACTAATCTCCCACATAACCTCAGACGGTGAGCCCTGATGTACATGCGAAAATCCGCTTTGACAATCTGGGCTCCGATATAGGCGTTATGGAGAGCAGCGGTGTCCTTCCTAGGCTGGCTAAATACTGCACGGTACATATGTGTAATGTCATCGTCGAGGCTGGCGATCTGAGCGGGGGCCAATGTAGGCCATGTGCTGGAATTGTACAACCTGCCTGAAATAATAAGCGAGTCCACCAAGACCACGCCAAGACGAGTAGTGAGTAGGGGCTCTCGTAAGACCTTACGGAGCGTCTTCCAGGAACCCGCACAGCTGTGATACCTATGAGAGAGCTCGGGTAATATACTGTTGCCCTCGTCCAGGACCGTGCCCAGGTGCGTATGCGGGCATACTGCATGGAGCTGAAACTGGCCGTAGGCATTGGAGCTGACATGCAAGATGCCATCAGCTTGCTTCCAAAGGGCCATCTTGGAGTTGATCGCGCCTGGGCCGCGGAATTGAAATATAATTGCTGACTTACCTCGGCCACTATGTCGCCCCATGCCCCGCTCGGCAAAAGAGCCAAAGATGATGCCCGCAAGGAAGGGCGCAATAGCTTGCAGTGTCTTGGCGCTGATCCCCGAGGAAAAAAGCCATATCCATGGAAAAATCGTGGTATATATGGTCTGCTGCTGTGCTGTCGCTTTCACCTATGTCGATGTATCCTGCATTGTGAACAGGAAACCTGAGTTCAAGACCCAAATCCAATAGACGCCCCTGGACCAGTTGCATAACCGAGCCCATCACAAAATTAAATATCAGGTCTCCTAGCTGTTGTACAAGTCCCGAACCGATGGTGGGGAAAGCTATGGACGAACAACCGGGCACCACGAACCACGACATATGATATGCGTGTGCAACCATAGCATGAAGACGGGGCGGGAGACGTATCGTATCAAACAGAGCGCCTTCTGTGACAACTAGCTGCGCGAGCTCCTCTGCTACTGACTGCGGTAGACCTGCGAGCGCAAGTATGTGCTGCACTGCGTCGGCCGAGTGTGAGTTGGCCGTGCAAAATACTAGCTCACGCAAGCACTTGTAAAAAAAAAGGCCTGGATCGCGTCCAGCGGCAAGAAAAGGGTAGAGAGGTGGCGTTGCACTGCTAGCTGTTGAAAAGCACGAAGTTCGAGTGCTGCATAATCGGCTCCTGCACCCTTAGCTCCCCCATCCTGCCTTGGCCCAGCGTGAACCGGTAGGTATGCTGCCACCTGGGCCCTGAGAAAAGTCCTGGACCTTTTGCCTAGCTGAGAAGATCCCAAGATAGATCTGTAGCAATCACGGTTACCTGGGTCTCCTTTTTTGAACAATGGCCAGTCAAAACCTCCTTTCCACTTATGGGTTCCGTGGTCCTCAAGAAAACTTTGGTGATAATAGGGAAAACCAGAGACGCGATAGGCTTGAATAGTCTGGCCACGATGGTGCCTGTTATCCCATCAGGGCCAACTGCTGCATGTCTGGTAGTCTTGCAAACTCGTTCAAATTGAGCAAGGGTAGGCAAGTCCCCGATAGAAAAACGGAGGTCGGTGATATACTGCTCCGGGCACGCTGGCACATTTGCCTCGAACCATGCGAGGTCTTCTCTCGGTATAACCGCTCCCGCCTCATTGGCAGCAAAGTGTTTAGTCCAGGTATATGCAACATCTCCTTCAGCTTCGACAGGTCGGCCGTCAAACCCTTCGAATATCGGGAGAAGGGAAATGCGGGCCTTCTTGCGAGAGCAAGCTCCTATACGCTTAAAATGCTCGAGCATGATCGTGAACCGACCACGCGCTGGATATATCTCCTGCAATAGGAGGGAGGAGGGAGGAGGGAGGAGGAGAAGGAGGAGGAGGAGGAGGAGGAGGAGGAGGAGGAGGACCAGCTTGCCGCCGCCGCTGCCTGCGGCTCTGCGTCCGTGTGGCTCCCCAGGGGCGCGGCCCGCCCCGCCCCTCCCCCCGGGCGCGCGCGGGCGACGGGCACGCGCGGAGTCGGCCCGCGTTCCCTCCCCCCCCTTCGCTGCAGGGCCTCCCCCCCTCCCCTCCTCCTCCTCCTCCTCCTCCTCCTCCTCCTCTCCTCCTCCCTCCTCCTCCTCCTCCTCCCTCCTCCTCCTCCTCCTCCTCCTCCTCCTCCTCTCCTCCTCCTCCTCCTCCTCCTCCTCCTCCTCCTCCTTCTGCTCTCCGCCTCCTCCTCCTCCTCCTCCTCCTCCTCCTTCCTCTTCCTCCCCCACCCCCCTCCCGCTCCCTCTGGCCCCCCCCCCCGCTCTGCCCCCCTCCTCTCCGCACCGCCTCGCCCCCCGCGAGCAGCAGCTCGCGCAGCTCCCCAGGCCTCTCTCGTTCCGCGCTCTGGCCGGGACCTCGAAGCGAATCCAGCGGCGGCGACGAGGGAGGGGTGGCGGTATCGGTGCCATCTCCTCCTCTGAGCCTCGGGGCGGAGCCCACGCATCCGCCGACATTCTTCTTGCCATCCGCGGCCCCAGAGGTCCCGACAGGTCCCGACCACTTCCCCAGGGCCATTTTTCATCCAAAATCCGCTCGGCCCGACACTGGGCTCCGGAGGCCGACATCTAGGAAGCACGCCCCAAACCTTATCTCGTCGACCTGGGAGGACAGACAGAACGGCGGGAAGCCGCCCGCCTCCGCCCTCGCCGAACGTGTCCGCGCTGTCCAAGTCGTAGGCCCCGCCCCGCAGCAGCAGCGCGCTCTCGGGCAGCCTCGGCGGTGGACAGACCTCCCTTTAGCAAACCTCCCTTTAATGAAAAAGACCTGGGACCGAAACCGACGGACCCGGACCCGCAAAAATGACGGCCGCGACGCCCTCTCGCGAACCGAAACGGCCAATTCCTTAATCGACGCGTCAGGGTAGGTCTGTCCACCTCCGACAAGCCTGTCCGGGGCCTGCCTCTTGCGGCCCTCCCCCGGGCCCGAGTACATGTCGTCGGGCAGGTCGGTGGGGATGCCGGCCGTGCGCCCCTCGGTGTCGTTCCTCGAGCTCCGGGCACCGCAATTGTTCTGCGCACCGGGCGCCTTCGCTCGAATTCCCCAAGCAGTGTTTGCACTTAGGGTTAGGTCAGGCCTGCCTCCCTACAGGGGGATATTGGGCGGAAATTAAAAATGGTTAAAAATATTCAAAAAATGCCCAAATATATTTTAAGCATAGTCCCCATATATATCTTTTGACAATTTTTGAATATTCCCCCTGTGGAGGGACAGGCCCGACTTAAACTTAGGGCTTCTTGGTTCTTTTCCATGGAATGGGCTGGTGATGCGGTCTGGCGGCCATGTTTGCCGCCGTCGCCGCCCCGTCTCCGCCTCGTCGCCGCCCGTCTTCCGGACCGGCTCGGCGGTCCAGCAGCTATGTTGCCGCCGTCGCCGCCCCGTCGTCGCCCACATCAATTCTCCTATCCGGAACGAAGTTCGGATCCACCGTCCTCCCGAGGACGGACTTGTCCCTCCTGGGGATGTGCAGTGTACATGTCATTCTGCCCCATCGGTCGTGTGAACTATGAACTCGGCACGGTCCCTGGCGCGCCCCGCGCGCCAGGGAGAAAGAGGCCAAGGCAGATCCAAGAACTGCGCGCAAATCTCTGCAAATGTACACGTCGTTCATCTCTAATCGTGCTCATTTCTAATGGTGCTCGTTTCTAATTGTTCCTGGCCCCCTTGTGGCCAGGAAGAGGCCCAGGATGGAACACATAGAAATGAAAAGATCTTGCCCCCCCCGAACAATCAAATAACTTTCGAAGCATTAGAAGTGAACAATGTGTGCGCTGGCATGACAGGCGGCCGCGGGGTCTGAACCGGCTGGGGCCCCAGAAAAGCGGTTGGGGTAGGGGGGATGAAGCCAACTCCGCTCCAATTCGGTCTCTGGACCCCTCCTGGGGTGCACGGTTTCCCCCGGGGCCGTGGGAGACCCGAGGAGGAGGAGGAGGACGAGGAGGAGGAGGAGGAGGAGGAGGAGAAGGAAGAAGGAGGGGGGGAGGAGGAGGAGAGGAGGAGGAGGAGGAGGGGAGGAGGAGGGAGAGGAGGAGGAGGAGGAGGAGGAGGAGGAGGAGGAGGAGGGAGGAGGAGGGGGGGGGGGAGGAGGAAGAGAAGGAGGAGGCGGAGGAGGACGAGAAGGAGGAGGAGAAGGAGGAGGAGGAGGGGGGGAGGAGGAGGAGGAGGAGGAGGAGGAGGAGGAGGAGGAGGAGGAGGAGAAGTATGGGTACCCTGAGAAAGGAAGAGGGCAGGCGGACACGAGCACGAACGAGACGAGGGCAAATGAGTTAGGCTCTCCAGTGCGTGCTCGGGCCTAGCGCCTCTACCTATGTGGTAAAGCGTGTGCTGCACGGCGCTATGCGACTAGGTCTGCTTATGAAGCAGACGCAATGCTGGCGCTGGCAGAGGACTTCTTTGTATTGTAAACGTGAAAAGCCAGGACGATCCATGCGACTATCGCTGGCAGGGACATTGGACTGGCGGCGTCGATCAGCTGCATGAGCTGAGGCAGGGCCAATCATATTCGGTTGGATGATGGGGGGGACAGAGAGCCAGAGGAGCCTCGAACGGGCGGAGCAGGAGAGATAGTGCAGGGGGAAAGCAGGCGCGTCGGCACAGACGAGCGCGCACTTGTGCTGCGGAATGATGTGCAATTTGGCAGTGGTCGTCCGCCCACCGCTGAGGGTCTGAACTACGCTGCAAGTTGAGAGGAGGAGGAGGAGGAGGAGGAGGAGGAGGAGGAGGAGGAGGAGGAGGAGGAGGAGGAGGAGGGGGAGGAGGCGGAGGAGGAGGAGGAGGAGGAGGCGGAGGAGAAGGAGGAGGAGGAGGAGGAGGAGGAGGAGGAGGAGGAGGACGGGTCGCCTAAGCCCTTCGGAGAAGCCTTCCATCCTGGGGTCCATCTGGTGCACTTCTGCACCCCGCGTCTGCTTTGACGCTCCCCGGGGGCCCGCAGACGGCCCCTCGAGGTCAAACCTATCAAGCGGACGCAGCACCTTCCCGAACCCAGAGCCTCGAGCCCGACCGCCCTCCCTGCTGGCCAGAATCCGTGCTGGGCCGCCTGAGACCCCCAGCCGGGGCTCCAGAGCTGCACTTCCTCCCCGTGCGGGCGCTCGGACGTCCGTTCCCCGTGCATTTTTCGGCTTCGTGCGTGCTCTTTTTGCCAGATGGTCGAGGATATTCCTCGAAGGCCCTCGCCTTATGTCGGGCCTGTCCCCCTACAGGGGGGTTTTTGGGCGAAAAATTAAAGATACCCCCGAACTGCTACAAACATGCTCAACAATAATCCAACACATCGTCCCCAGACTATCTTATGACTGTTTTTGAGTATTCCCCCTGTAGAGGGACAGGCCCGACTTAATCCTCGCCGAGAGAGTCGGGTCGGGCGAAAGGGGGGGATAGCAAAGGGGGGGTTTGAGAATCAGCTCACGTAGCTGATTTTCCCGGCGCCTCCCGGCGCCGGGAGGCGGCCATGTATCGAGGAATGGGCCCCTCGGTGGGGCCGAAACCAGCTGCATGCAGCAAATTTCGTAAACCCCCCTTTCCCAATCCCCCCCTTTCGTTCGGCCCGACTTAATCCTCGCCGAGAGAGACGGCCTGGGACCGAAACGGACGGACCTGGACCCGCAAAAATGACGGCCGCGACGCCCTCTCGCGAACCGAAAACGGCCAATTCCTTAATCGACGTGTCAGGGTAGGAGGTCTATCCACCTCCGAAATATTCCCCCTGTAGAGGGACAGGCCCGACTTCATCCTCGCCGAGAGAGAGACCATGCACACGCCCGAGCGCTGCCCAGGCCCCTCCCCGCGGCTCCTCCGGAGTCCGCCGCGCTGCCGCCGCACGGCGGCCCCCACGCGCAGGGGCGCGGCGAAATCGCGCACCAGCACGCACCCGTCGAAGACGCTCGGCTCCCGGCTGAACACGGCGTCGGACCTGTGTGAAGGGGCCCCAGGACACACAAATAAATACTCACAAATAGAAATATCCCCAATATTTTCCCATATTTTCTGGGTTTTTGTCTTCTCCCCCCACTTCCCATATTTTCCCATATGTTCTGGGGAACCGACGATTCATTGTGTCTGTGTGTTTTTTCCCCTCCTGATTGTGGTCCTCCCCCTCCTCTTGCCCGGGCTTCGGTACAGTCGGCCTTGATTGGAGAGGGTACGCGAGAGGACACAAAGACCCTTCCGAAGGCCACGTCGCCATAGGAGTGCAAGAAGGCACGTGCCGCGAGGCACAGGACACAAGGGTACCCTTGAGCTGGCAGGTCGACCTACTAATCTGGGCCGACTGCTGTGACCTCGCGCCCCTTGTTGAGTACGATCAGTGTGCAAGTTTTCCAAGAGCTGCGGTGCAATCTCCCGCGCCTTCCGCTGAGGTCGGAGGGCGTGGAAGGTGGACGTGGAAGGGGGGACGCACGCCGACGTGGGTTGCAGGATCCGTGGATCCGTCACGTGGGAGCCGGGGGAACGCCGCTGGCGAACGGCCTCGGGCGGCGTGCACAGGCGGCCCCCGCGGGCAGTCCCAGCTGGCCTCCACGGGCCTCTCGAGCAGCCCAGGGCGGTGCCAGCACTCCAGCTGGGGGCGCGGAGCACCCCAAGGGGCGCTGCCCGAGGCGGCGCCGGGGTGCTCGGGGGACTGCTGAGGCCGGCTGGGACCACCTGGGGGGACCCTCCGTGCGCCACCCGGCGCCCTGCCAGAAGCAGCCCCTGTAGAGCAGAGGGCCAGTGCCGCCTGACTGCGCGGTGGCGCGCGCCAGCTCTGCGCGCAAAGCGGAGCCCGTCGGCGGTCCACGCGCCTCGAGTTCATAATCGTGTTTGCGTCTCCTCGACCTGTGTCTGTCGTTCTCCGTCATGTCGATCTGGGCGCTCGCGCCCTCGGGGAAGAACCTGGCCCGGAGGACGGCGACGACGGCCACTGCGACGGCGGCGGCACGAGCGACGGTCTGACTCCGACGGCCCGACGGCGACTGCCCGACGGCGACGGCGGCTGCCGCGGAGGGCGGCGATGGCCCGCTGGCGACAGCGCCCTGGGGCCACCTTGGGGCCCTCTTGGGCCGTCTTAAGTCTTAGGCCCTCTCAGAGTCGCCGGGGAGCCGTCTTGAGCCGCGTCGACGGCGGCGGCGGCCGCGACGGCGGCGGTGGCGACAGCCTGGTGGCGACGGCCCGACGGCCCTGTGGCGACGACGACTGAGTGCCCTCCGGGAAGCGCCCCCGGCGAGCGGAGGGCGGCCCGAGGCGCGCACAGAGGCCAGCAACCCTCGGACGCCCGCGGACACGTCGGCAGGCCACCGCCGACGGCGCCTTGGCCCCTCTCTCGACGACGATGACGACGACGACGACGACGACGACGACGACGACGACGACGACGACGACGACGACGACGACGACGGCCTCCTCGGCGCGCAGGGCGCGCCGTGGGGCGGAGCCGAGGGTGCCGCCCTGTGGCGCGTGCTTGTGGCCGTGTTGTACCCTTGCTCCGCCACTGCCCCGTGGAGGCCCGGCGACCTCTCGCTGCCCAGCCAGCGCGCCTCTGCGCGCGCCCGCCGGACCGACGGCTGCCCTGCGGCCTGGCCCGGGCTGCGACGCTCAAAACGGGTGCCCGTGTGGTCGCTTTTCGATCTCGTCTCTCGTCCTCATTGTCTCCCTCCGGTCCTCGCCCGGGTGGCATATTTGGTGCGGCTCGTTCTGCTTGACCTACTTCGCGCCTCCTCGCTGCTTGCGGGGCCGCGATCGCCCAAAGTGTCTGTGTGTGCTTGTGTGTGGGTGTCGACCCCCTCACGACCCCTCGCGGTCTGCCAGTCGCCCTGCGTCTGGCTGCGGCGTATGGTGCTTTGCTCTGCTGCTCCCTCCCCACAAGTCGTTCCCCTCTCGTCCCCTCCCTCGGCTGGCCCTCCGAGGGACGCCCTGTGTGTGCATGTGGTCGAGCCTCAGACCTCCAGCGCATCGAAGAAAAAACCAAGGCGGGTGCAATTTTGGACTTACTTGCATGCCTTTTCGGCCAAACGCCGTTTGCAATGGCGGCGGGAAAGGGGATGGGGGGAAATGCCATGCAAGTAAACTTGCCAGAACTTGAAGAACAACAGCACGCTCTTGCCTCGGCGGTGCTTCTGGGCTAGGCATTCGCCTCCGATTCCGCCGCGTCGCTGCGCGCGTGGCGCGACGCCGAACAAGTCTGTGGAGAGGGTGTGGGAGGGATGGAACTCTGCAGGCCGCACGCGTCCGTACGTCCGCCGTTCGTGCCTGTGTGCGCGTTGTTTCGGTGGCCGTCGTTGCCGCTTCCCTGCTGCGCCTCGCTTGCTGCTTCGGCTCGGCTTTGTCGCACTGCTTCGTCTCTCCCTTCTCTGTCCCCTCACGGCCGCCCCCCCCCCCCCGTGCCTGTTGCAGCTCGGCCAACGTGCGCGCTTGCTCGGCCGCGCCGCCGCGCGCGCGGCCGCGGCGCCAAGCGAGTGTGCGCGTGGAGCCTGTTTTTTTTGACCCTGGCAAGTTTACTTGCATGGACGGAGGGGGGGGGGGCTGAGCCTGAAGCAAGCCCGGGGAGGGGGGGGGCGCGGAAATCGCGCAAGCCGAAAGGCACTTGCACGCCAGCATTCGCTCGAAGAGGGGCGAGGGGGGGGGGGGGGGGGGGGGGGGCGAACGCCATGCCGTAAAAACAGGCTCGTGGCGGCGCTTGCTCGCGCAGGCTGCTCCACGCCGGCGCTGCGCGCGGCGGCGACGAGCGCGGGGCGCGCACGGGCTGCAGCGGCTCGAGGCTGTCCCCCGAGGAGGAGGAGGAGGAGGAAGAGGACGAGGAAGAGGACGAAGAGGAGGAAGAGGAGGAGGAGGAGGAGGAGCAGGAGGAGGAGGAGGAGGATGACGAGGACGAGGACGAGGACGAGGAGGAGGAGGAGGAGGAGGAGGAGGAGGCTGCGCCCCGAGGCGCCGACCGCGGCAGCTCCGCTGCGGCGGACACGCCCGCGGACGCCGAGAAGGCCGGCGCCCGAGGCCGCGGCCCCCGGCCTGCTGGCGCTCTCTGCTGGCTCGCGCCTGTGGCGATCCAACGCCGGCAGGCCCCGAGCTGGCTCGACCGCCCATGCGCCGAGGCACGACTTTACTGCAGTGGCGTGTCCTGATGGGGGCGCTGTGATGGACGACGCGCCGGGGGTACGCGCACAAGCCCCGACATCCGACGACGGCCTCTTTGTCTCTCCCACGCGTGGCTCCCCACAGAGGTCGGGGCCTCTTCCCCGGAGCCGTTCTTTCATCCCGGACCGGTTGTGTCACCGGTCCTGGTGCCCGGCGAAGGGTCCTCGCAAAGGCCGCACAACCTCCCGCCGCGATGTTTTCTCGACGCGCGACGTTGGCTGTCGGGCAATGCCTCGGGGCTCTGCCGGCCGTGCCGGAGGACTCTTCATCCCTAGAACGCTCTTGGCAAGGCGCAGCTGCTGGAAGGCGCATCCCGAGGCTATTAGACATCCAACAAGCCACGGTGCCGTCAGAAACCCCGGCAGGGCGCGAGGAGGTCGAGGACCCAGGAATTCCGACGTCGTGACCTTCCCGCACCGTGGACCTCCAAAGGTCTGAACCCCTTCACCGGCTTCCTGGCCCGAGTCGTTTTCTGGCGCTCCCGGGGACTGGCGAGGGCCCCTGGAAGCCGGAAGCTGACAATCTTGCGCCGTGTGCCGTGAGCGCGCGCCTCGTCGCGCGTCGAGGCGCCGCCTCGCCCCCGCCCCCTGCGCGAACGGCGCGCTCCGAGGCCGCCGCCGAGGCGAGGCGCGAGCCCTTCCCCTGCGCGCTCGAGCGCCGCCCAGTCGTGCGAGGAAGCTGCTCGGCGGGAGAGGAACCTCGACGTCCTGTGTTTCCTCATGGCGTGGACCCCCGGATCGGATCGGGGGCGGCGAAGAGGGGGGCGCGTCAAAGAGAAGGGGGGCGCATGCCATGGCCTGCGGCATGTGCTGTGCGCGGCCCAGCGGGGGGGGGGCAGGGACGTAGCGAACTGAGCGGAGGCGCCACGAAATCTGGAGAGATCTCATGGCCCACGCCATTGCATCCGCCCCCCTAGCCTTGTGGATGCCACCACAATGGACACCCTAACAGTCCTACCATCGAACTTTTAAAATCTGTTTAAAATGCCGGAGCACTTGCTCTGAACATGCCTTACGCCTGCTTTTACATGTTTAAGAAAATGTTCAACACATGCTTCAGACACCTGGGAACTATTTGGCAGCACGCTTCCTCTCCATGGACTAAAACAGGGCCAGGATCGGGATAAATCGCTCCAGAGCGTTCCGGAGCGCTCCCAGAGCGTTCCAGAACGCTCTGGAGCGGCCGCGGCGCCCAATACATCCTCCAAGCCCGCCGACTCTCAGAGATTTCGAGTTATCCCGATCCGATGCTGTCCCGATCTTCGCGTCGTTTTACTGACCGCCCTCCACAACCCTAGCCATCACTGAAGGGGCCCCAGGACACACAAATAAATACACACAAATAAAAATGTTCCCCATATTTTCCCATATTTTCTGGGTTTCTGTCTTCCCCCCCACTTCCCATATTTTCCTATATTTTCCTGGGAGTCGACGATTAATTGTGTCTGTGTGTTTTTTCCCCTCCTGAATCACACCCCCCTCCTTGGCCGCCCCCGACTCAGTCGTGACCTGGGCCCCGGAGGTCTCGGCACACACTCCCTGTAGGGCCGGGCTTTCTCATGCCGAAAACCGCTCGTTGACCGTCCTCTATGGGGCCCTCCTCCCCCTCCCCCTCCTCCTCCTCCTCCTCCTCCTCCTCCTCCTCCTCCTCCTCCTCCTCCTCCTCCTCCCCCTCCTCCTCCTGATCCTCCTCCGGAGGCCAACAATAGCGAACAAAAACCTCCCGACGCGAGGCAGCAAATAGCGACGAGCGAAGGAAAAAACAAGAAGCGAAAACTTACATTCCAAAAGAGCGAACAACAGCCAGGCCGAATCGCGAACAGCAGCCAGGCCGAAACAAGAAACGAGCGGGTCTGGGGAGCCTGGCCCCCGCCCGGAGCTCCAGGTCCCTCGCGACCGCGCCGGAGTGCTCGTAGACCTACGGGGCAACGAGAGGGGGGACGGCTCAGGGGGCACGCACCGATCCCGAATCGCCCACGCATCGCCGATGGGGGCCGGATGGCCCGCCCCGCCCAGGGAAGTTGGCGGATTCTACCGGGGGCCTTTCGCCAATCTGCCGGCGGCGATGTATCGCCGATTCCAGCTCGATGTTTCTCCCCAGAGCTGTTCCCCCCTTATGCCTGAGGTCCGACGCCGCGAAACAATTGAGATAGCAAACGAAATCACGACCAGAGCCCCAGACCCCATCTCCCTGCGTCATTTCTCGAGCCAGATCGAGCTGTGATGACCCCCGGGGCCCGAAGCCCGACGAGAACACGCCTGGCTCCAAAAACTGCAGCGCCAAGATCGCAGGGCATCCCCAGACGCGCGACGCCCCGACCGTTTCAACGCGGGGTCCCCTGGGAGTCCCGGGCCCTTCCCCAGGACTGGAATTCTCTCCCGAGTCGTCTTTGGACGACCCCGGGACCCTGCGAGGGCCCCGAGCGGCCGAACACGACCACAGGCTGCCCGCCCGGATTTTTTGGTTGCGCGACGCGAGCATGTCTGGGTCGTTGCCCCTCGAGACCCACGGGAAGGGCCCCAGAGGCGGCGCGCCCGCGCCGCCCAGCGTCGGGCGCCCGCGCCGCGGCGGCCCCTCCGGCCCCTCCTCGGCCTCTGCCGGCCCCGGCTCCCGCGGCTCCTCGGGCTCCGCCTTCGCCTTCTCCTCCTCGTCCTCCTCGAGGGAGCAAGGGCCCAGACAGGCTCGCGTCGTGTTTCTTCGGCCTCTGGGGGCCCTCGTCCTCCTCTCTTCGACGGGAGCCCCAGAGCTCCTGGCGCCTCGACTTTTTTCCCAGCCGGACGTTTTTACGCCCAGCTCCCTCTTAGAAGCACCCCTGCTTCTTAGAAGGCGCGGGCCTCGTCCGTAGATGTAAGGACCGCGGCTGCTAAGAAGCAGCCTCCTTCTAAGAAGTCTGCCCCCCTCCCCCTACTCCCCTCTGCGCGCCGCCAAGAAAAACCAGGACGGGAGGTGTGCCGCCGTTTTCGGCCTCTGGGGGCCCTGACCAGGCACTGGGAGCATCAACAAGGACGACTCGGGATGGAGAAATCCGGTCCCGGGGAGGGGGTCCACTCCTCCGGGGGTCCACGCTGCGCAAAAGCACGACCTCGGTGTTTGGGGAATTTGGCGCGCCTCCTCCGCGGCGGAGGGCCGGCGGACATCCACGGGGGCGAACAAGCGGGGGCGGCTCCATTGTCGGAATCGGAAGCCAGCGGAGGCAAAAATCTTGGTTCGTTTTTTCGGAGCGAGCCACGACTACGGAGAAATCCGGTCCTGGGGAGAGGGTCCAGACCTCCGGGGGTCCACGCTGCGCAAAAGCACGACCTCGGTGTTTTGGGGAATTTGGCGCGCCTTCTCTTCGGCGGAGGGCCGGCGGACACCCACGGCGACAGAAGATGGGGTCCAGGGTCCTGGTCGTGACCTCGTCCATGATTACTTTTTCGCGACGACGTGCGACGCTCTGATTTTCTCAATGCGCGGTCCACGGAACCCCCGACCTTTTCCCCAGAGCCGCTTTTTCATCAGGAGTCGTTTCTTGACGCCCCTGAGGCCGAAAATTGCCCAAATCCTTCCGTCATGATGTTGTCCCATCCTGTGGTGTTGGGTCTTCGTTTTGAAGAGACAGCGCCCCGCGTTCTCACTCCTCCTCCCGCTCCTCCCTCTCCTCCCTCCTCCCTTCCCTGCCTCTGTCCCCGCCACCCAGTGCAGCATTTCGTGGCCCCAGAGAGCTCCACCGAAAGTCCCAGTGGCGCAGTCCGCATGCGATTCCTGCGCCACGTGCAACTTTTCTCGGCCCTAGAGGGAGCTCCACTGAAGGTCCCACTGGCGCAGTCCGCATGCGGTTCCCGCGACCAGTACAACGTTCCGTGGCCCCATGGGGAGCTCCACCGAAGGTCCCAGTGGCGGAGTCCGCATGGCCCCAGTGGCGTAATCCGCATGCGGTTCCTGCACCCGGTGCAGCGTTTCGTGGCCCCAGAGGGAGCTCAATCGAAGGTCCCAGTGGCGCAATTATCATGCCCTTTCCCCGCCCAGAACAGCGCTTCGTGGCCCAATAGGGAGCTCCACCGAAAGTCCCAGTATTAGCGCATTCGCACGCGGCTCCCCCACCCAGTACATCGCTACGTGGCTCCATAGGGAGCTCCACCGAAGGTCCCACTGGCGCATTCGCATGCTTTTCCGCGCCCATTACAAGGTTTCGTGGCCCTAGAAGGAGCTCCATCGAAGGTCCCGGTGGCGCAGTCCGCATGCGGTTCCTCCGCCCAGTACAGCGTTTCGTATTCTCAGAGGGAGCTCCACCGAAGGTCCCAGTGGCGTAATCCGCACGCTGTTCCTGCGCCCAGTACAGCGCTTCGTGGCTCCAGAGGGAGCTCCACGGACGAACCCGTAACAGCGGTACTCACTACTGTACATGGTTGGGCTTTCGCCCAGCTGATTTACAACGACGCGATCATGTCTGGGCCCACTCCCCATCTCTTACAGTCGGGGCGTTGACCTAAGGAACCCTAAATAAGGAACGAGGCCCCTTTTTTTCCATAAGTTAACCTTCGATTCCCTGTCGAAAACAGAAGGAAAGCCTGAGGCAAGCTGTGAAACACTTAAGGAACGCGGAGCCCCTCCCCAACGAAAAGGGTTCCTTCTTCAGGGCCCCGACTGTACAACCCAAATGCCCAACGACATGCCTTTCTTCCAACTGGCGCTTCTTCTCTCCCTCTGCGGGCCCATGCGGGCCAGCTCCCGGGCCCTGGGACCAGCAAACATAGATCCAGGGCGAAGCGCTCGCCGTCGCTCGGGCGTCCGTGCCCGTGCATTTTTGGTCGGTGTCGTGCGTGTGCTTTCTCGCGACGTGGCCCAACATGCTCCTCGATGGTCCTTGCCGGTGGAAGTGCGCGCCTCCGAGCGATGCCAAGAGCGCTACCCCCAGGGAAGGGGTCGGGGCCTCTGGGGCCGCGCGCTGGAGAAGTCAGATCCGCGGACCTCTGGGGCAGGAGACGCCCCCCAACCCTGTGGCCCTGTAGCCTGTAGCCTGTAGCCCTTGGGCGACCAGAAGCCAGACGACCAAACTCGCAGGACTCGTCACCAGGGCGGGAGCGTGCGCACGCTTCACTGCAGGCACCTCGGCCCAGAGCGCCACAGCGACGAGGCCAGCCTCGAGCTGGCTGAACGCTCCGAGGGCCCCTGCCACATTGAAAGTATCATCTCGCTTCGTCGACCCTCCCCCCCCTACAGAGAGCCACAGCGACGAGGCCAGCCTCGAGCTGGCTGAACTCTCCGAGGGCCCCTGCCACATTGAACGTATCATCTCGCTTCGTCGGCCCTCCCCACCTACAGAGCGCAAAAGCGACGAGGCCAGCCAGGAGCTAGCTGAACTCTTTGAGGACCCTTGCCACATTGAACATCATCTCACAGGCCAGCCTCGAGCTAGCTGAACTCTTCGAGGGCCATTGCCACGTTGGAAGCATCGTCTACCTTTATCGACCCTCCCCCACTGACCTCAGCGGCGAAGCCAGGACCAAGCCAAACTCGGGCCGTGACAACGCGGTGATCTCACAGATCCGGCGGCTCTGGGGCGAGCGAGCGAACGTCCATCGGGCTCTACTCCGGGTAGAGCCGCGCCCATTTTGGGCGGGACGGGAAGGGCCGTAGCCCTTGTGACAAGTCCCCTGACGAAGGACCCAACCATAATCAATTGTGGATACCGCGTTCTGGGTCCATCGTTCGACGGGCCTCCCTATGGGGCCACGAACCGTGTGAGGGGTGTGCCGAAATGGGCGGGGGAACCGCATGCGAACCCTACTACTACTGGGGCCTTCGATGGAGCTCCCTATGGGGCAACGAAGCGTAGGAAGGGTGTGCCGAAACGGACGCGGAACCGCATGCGAACCCTCCCACTGGGGCCTTCGGTGGAGCTACCTATGGGGCCACGAACCGTGTGAGGGGTGTGCCGAAATGGGCGTGGAAACGAAGGCCACTGGGGCCTTCGGTGGAGCTCCCTATGGGGCCACGAACCGTGTGAGGGGTGTGCCGAAATGTGTGTGGAACCGCGTGCGGACCCTGCCACTTGGGCCTTCGGTGGAAGTCGCTATGGGGCCGCGAAACGTGTGAAGGGTGTGCCGAAATGGGCGGGGAACCGCATGCGAACCCTACTGCCACTGGGGCCTTTGGCTGAGCTCCCTATGGGGCCACGAACCGCGAACCGTGTAGGGGTGTGCCGAAATGGGCGGGGGAACCAACCACATGCGGACTCTGCCACAAGGGCCTTCGGTGGAGATCCCTATGGGGCCACGAACCGTGTGAGGGGTGTGCCGAAATGGGCGGGGGAACCGCATGCGAACCCTGCCACTGAGGCCTTCGGTGGAGCTCCCTATGGGGCCACGAAGCATAGGAGGGGTGTGCCGAAATGGACGCGGGGGAATCGCATGCGAATCCTGCCACTGGGGCCGTCGGTGGAGCTCCCTATGGGGCCACGGACCGTGTGAGGGGTATGCCGGCATGGGCGGGGAAGGTGACGGGAGGAGGGAGGAGGAGGGGGGGGAGGAGGTGAGGAGAGGAGAGGAACGCGGGGACCGTTTCTTTCAAACGAAGTCCAAACACCACAGGATGGCTGGGAAAAAGCTGTGAATGATCTCGTGTCGCGGTCGCAAACTGGTCCCTCCATACTCCGCCGTTCTGCGGCATTCCTTGCCGGCGGCTCTGGAGGATGACTCCGGCGCCACGGCCGCGCCAGGTCGCTCCAGGACGCTTGGAGAGCGTTCTGGAACGCGCCCAGGGACACACAACTAATCCGACACATATCCCAGGATTCCCAAACTTTCCACATACTTTCTGGAGTGTCGTCTTCCCCTCCTCTTCCCATATGCTTCTATCTTTTCTGAGGGAGCTACATTTATTTATGTCTGTGTGTTTTTCCCCTCCTAAATTCTGGAATGCCCTGGAACGATTTATCCAGGTCCTGGCCCTGCCCGATGGACCCCGACCCCCCGCCATGCCCCTCGAGGGGCGGGTCCAGAAGCGACGGCGTGGGTTGTCGTGCCCTTCGGGCAAGGGGCACCGCGCCTTTCGACCACACTTGAAGCTCGCTTCACACCCAAGTTAGGGCAGATATGCAGAGTGCAAATAGAATCCACCTCAGCATCCTCTCATAACTCCCAGTCCCCTTAGCGCCCCCCGTGCTGATCCAAGAGGACGGACCCCATCGACTTGATCTTTTCCAGTCGCCAACCCCCGGAGCTTTACGATCTGTTGACGGTCCTCGGGCCCAGAAGAACCGCCCCCGAGCCCAAGGATAGCGGAAAGCCTCTGACGCGATTGCGTCGGTTCGGCAGAGATCCGGGGTGATGGGCCTGCTTTCCACCACCACCACCGTAGGAGGAGGATGAGGAGGAGGAGGACGAGGAGGAGGAGGAGGAGGAGGAGGAGGAGGAGGTGGAGGTGAAGGAGGAGGAGCAGCAGGAGGAGGAGGACCCCCTCCCCCTCCAACTTATGGTGGTGGTGGTGGTGGTGGAAGACAAGCCCCTCATGGGGGACGTCTTGTCCAGGCGGCCGCCCGACTCCTCCTCGCAGCCGCCTGGCGGCCTGTGCTTGCAGCACCACCTCTTCTTCTCCGACGTCCACTCCGCCTTCCAGTCCACATCCCCCACCGTGCAGTTGAACTGGCCGGGGCACTCCTGGGCAGGCCAGTCTCTTCCTCCCCTCCCTCCCTCCCCTCCTCCCTCCCTCTCTTTCTCTCTCTACATCCCCCGCTCCCCTCGATTCATCCCTCCCCATCCATTCCTCCCATCCCTTCCTCCCACACATCATCGATCAATCCAGAAACCCTTCGCCTCGGAACTCCCTCCCTCTACTCCTCATTCCCCTCCATTCCCCCCTTCCCTCCCCTCTCTACTCTACTCCCTCCCTCTACTCTACTTCCTCCCGCTTCACCCCTCCCCTCCCTCCCTCCGCTCCTCATTACTCCCCACCCTCTCCCTCCCATGCGTCGTCCATCAATCCATCCTTCGCCACGGGTCAAAACCGAGACGCCAACCCGTCCCCAACTCCGGGCCCCCAAGAGGGCCCGGAGCGGCGGGCCGCGCGACAACCCTCGTTGGGCCGTCTTGGGGCGCCTCGGGGCCGCCTTGGCTTTTTCGCTGGCCGTTCTTAGGAGTCAAAAGCGCCACCCAAATAATGACCACCCCGACACGCGAAGTCGTTTAGTAAACGCGCCCAAAGAAGGAATCGAGCAGGGAAGGGCTGTTTAGTAAACGCCCAGGGCCGCTTAGTAAACGCCACTTGTCCGGTCCGAGTGGTTTTTCCTCCCTTGAGTTCTGGGACCATCTTGGAGGCCTATTGGGCGATTTTTGGGCGATCTTTTGGGGACTCCTGGGCCGTCTTGGGCCGTGGGGAGGCCGACATAGAAGCAAATGCCACAATCCTTCAAACACATATCGACAATGCGGCCCAAGAGCGTTTGAGGGTCCGAGCGCGGTTTCACGTTGCACGTCGTCGGAGGGGCTGCGTCCAGGCCTCCCCTCTCCTGAGGCGAATGTCAGGGGGCAACCCGGCTCCAGGGGAGAAGCATGGAGCTGGACTCGGCGACGCATCGCCGCGATAGATCCTCGATAGGCCGCCGATGGTCGTGGACGGCCAAGAGGGGGGCATCCACGAGGGGGGGTGCAAATCATGGCCGGCGACATGTGCGCGGCTCAATGGGGGGCCAGGGACGTAATGTAATAAGACGAGGCGCAATGAAATCTGGGGAAATATCATGGCCCACGCCATGATATCCACCCCCCCTGGCGCTGCGGGCCACTCGCGGTCTGTCCGCGTCCCCCCCCCTAGTCATCCCCCCCTTCTTTGCCGCCCCCGAGATGGCGAAGCCGCATGTTTTCCTGGGCGATGGCGGGCTTTGGGGCTGTGGGGGTCGGTGCATCCCCCCCTGAGCCTCTCCCCGCCTAAAATCGTGTTATCCCCACCGTACTCGAGGACCACATCCCCAAAAACAATTCCGAGCACCCAGAACAGCATGCGCGTACACAAACCTCGCTGAATCTTCAGGAAAACTGACTTTCATAATGAGATTACGTCCTAGGATCGACTATTTGTGATTGCTTCTCGCTCTGTAGCCTGATATCGCCTCGTTGCTGCCTCCAGATCAACGCATTGGATCATTTCATATCGATTGGTCCACACATTACCTTTTGAAACTGCAATCGAAACAATGTCGAACGAGTATCGCCTCCAAGGGCCCGACACGTGAAAACCCCTCCAGTGTCGGCACTTTTTGGCGCTCGAGATTCTTTCTGGTGAACAAGGCTAAAATCGGATGGAACATCACAAGCCTAATATTGCCCCATGATCCCTCTCCCTCCCTCCAGAGGTTTCCAGAGGCCCCGGCGGCGGTCCAGGTCTTGAGTCTCAGGATCGGCTCCCCGACGTGTCCTGGTGTGCGCTCCGGCCAGAACTTCGAGGTGGATCCCGTCGTGGCGATGTGAAGCCTCCTGGAGGCTGCCGAAGCCTAGAGTTCCGAAAGTTTCTGCGTATGCAGTTTTCTATTGTCCGAAAAGCGTCCAAGAAACCTCGGTCCCAGATCCTCCTCCCTGCGGGGCCTTGTGAGGCTGGTGCTCGCAGCACCAGTCCTTCTTGGCGTCCGACCTCGTGGGCGGGAGGCACATCCACATCCGAGGCCTCGCGGTCCGAACTCCTCGGCCGCGACCCTATGACGCAGGGTGGCTTTACGCTGAGGCCCCGCGCGGAGCGCATCCACGTGACCGCGTCTCGGAGCCCAGACCGCGAGGGTAATTATGGCTATGGGTAGTCGTGGCTCGCTCCGAAAAAACGAATCAAGATTTTTGCCTCCGCTGGCTTCCGATTCCGACAATGGAGCCGCCCCCGCTTGTTTGCCCCCGTGGATGTCCGCCGGCCCTCCGCCGCGGAGGAGGCGCGCCAAATTCCCCAAACACCGAGGTCGTGCTTTTGCGCAGCGTGGACCCCCGGAGGAGTGGACCCCCTCCCCGGGACCGGATTTCTCCATCCCGAGTCGTCCTTGTTGATGCTCCCAGTGCCTGGTCAGGGCCCCCAGAGGCCGAAAACGGCGGCACACCTCCCGTCCTGGTTTTTCTTGGCGGCGCGCAGAGGGGAGTAGGGGGAGGGGGGAAGACTTCTTAGAAGGAGGCTGCTTTTTAGCAACCGCGGTCCTTACATCTACGGACGAGGCCCGCGCCTTCTAAGAAGCAGGGGTGCTTCTAAGAGGGAGCTGGGCGTAAAAACGTCCGGCTGGGAAAAAAGTCGAGGCGCCAGGAGCTCTGGGGCTCCCGTCGAGGAGGGCGAGGAGGACGAGGGCCCCCAGAGGCCGAAGAAACACGACGCGAGCCTGTCTGGGCCCTTGCTCCCTCGAGGAGGACGAAGAGGAGAAGGCGAAGGTGGAGCCCGAGGAGCCGCGGGAGCCGGGGCCGGCAGAGGCCGAGGAGGGGCCGGAGGGGCCGCCGCGGCGCGGGCGCCCGACGCTGGGCGGCGCGGGCGCGCCGCCTCTGGGGCCCTTCCCGTGGGGGGTCTCAAGGGGCAACGACCCAGACATGCTCGCGTCGCGCAACCAAAAAATCCGGGCGGGCAGCCTTTGGTCGTTTTCGGCCGCTCGGGGCCCTGGCTGCGCCCGCATGCGGTTCCACCCCCCATTCTGGCACACCCCTCACACGTTTCGTGGCCCCATAAGGAGCTCCACCGAAGGCCCCACTGGCTGCGCCCGCATGCGGTTCCACCCCCCATTCTGGCACACCCCTCGCACGTTTCGTGGCCCCATAGGGAGCTCCACCGAAGGCCCCAGTGGCTGCGCCCGCATGCGGTTCCACCCCCCATTCTTGCATACCCCTCACACGTTTCGTGGCCCCATAGGGAGCTTCACCGAAGGCCCCAGTGGCTGTGCCCGCATGCGGTTCCACCCCCCATTCTGGCACACCCCTCACACGTTTCGTGGCTCCATAGGGAGCTCCACCGAGCGCCCCAGCGGCTGCGCTCGCATGCGGTTCCACCCCCCCCATTTCGGCACACCCCTCACTCGTTTCGTGGCCCGGGGGCGCCACCGAAGAATATATCCACAATTGCGGTATTCACAACTACGTATGGTTGGGTCTTTCGTCAGGCTATGTTTTTTTTCCCCGACGTTGATGGGCCAATTTTCCAACCTCACTACCATAGGTGGGATTGGGACGAGGAGGGGGAGGAGGATGAGGATGATGAGGAGGAGGAGGAGCGGGAGAAGGAGGAGGAGGAGGAGGAGGAGGAGGAGGAGGAGGAGGGGAGGGGGAGGGGAGGGGAAGAGGAGGAGGAGGAGGAGGAGGAGGAGGAGGAGGAAACTCGCATCGGGGGAAGGCTAAGAATGCTATGACCTGCATTCGAAACCTTGGGGCGGCGGTCCTGCTTGTCCAGCGGGCAGTGAGACCTGCCGATGACGACGGAGCCTGCCTGGGACGGGCTCCCAGTGAACCTGACCGAAATATCTAGACAGATTACTCTGACGACGGGCGAGCTGCGAAATTCGGGCTTTGGTGCTATAAAAGATAGCCTGCGACGTGCACGAGCGATGCTTGAGGTGGTGGTAGACACGATATATAAGGTCAAAGTACAGAGCAACACTGACCAGGGCATCTGTCGGGATCGGGAAAAGTCGATACAACTGAAGCTTCTGGACAGACGAGCAGTAAATGAAGGCCGACGGGAGGAGAGGGAGGAAGAGACTGGCAACCGAAAAACGAGGGCACTCGATAATATGTTTGAGCGAGTCACCCTGATCGGGCCCGCACGCTATACAAGGTTTGGTGGCACCCTTGAAACGCCCGCTGCACGTCCAACAATTACAAAGCGATTTTAACAACACCGAGAGCACACAGGACGGGACCTTATCCTTGATCCTGAAAAAGGCGAGCCTAAGATGTTGGCCCCACTCCTACTCAGAGGCTCACCCAGCTTTTCGACACGCTTCACGATCGTGATGAGGGGGCTCTGGCTGTTCAGGCTGGTGAGATATTTTTCCATGGCGCGCTGGATGTGCGGGACCTCTTTCGGGGCGGCAGGGATTCTGGTGAGCGCCAAATAATTGTCGCACAGGTGTTTCATCACGCTGCCTTTCCACGTCGGGTGCTTCTGCCATGCAATGCAGCACTCGTCGGAGGTGCTGAAGCTGAAAAGGAGCCCCACTGCTTCAGAGAAAGCCCCAACGCGTTCAGCGACACGAAAACGAGCAGCCTGACTGCGCACGCGCACAGACGCAGCCTGAATCGGAAACCCGACGCTCTGAAGGTTCCGAAGGTCCTGGGACGGGATGGCCTTGAAGGGCCCGCGGACAATAACCTGAAGCATCCTCTCCTCTTCCTTAAGAACCTCGGGCGTGGGCGCGCGCAGCTGCCCGACGTAGGACAGAACAGACATGCAGAGCATATTAAAGTGCGAGATGGACTTCGCGAGCCCTAGGTCGAGCCCCTGGACCATGTACGAGCGCTCCCTGAACTTGGCCACTGGACAGGCCCAGCTTTCCGAACACCCATTGTCCCCCATCATGATCCCCAGGTACCTCGCGACCGTGCAGACCTGACACTTGGCAAGTTTCCCTAGGCGAGCTGTCGATTTCCGAAACTCCTGCCCCGAGTATTCCCCCACCAAGACGACGATCGTTTTCTTGATGTGAATGCGCAGCCCGAAGGCCGCTCCAGCCAAGACCCAGATATCGATATCGATCGGGAAAGACACCTCGAGGTTGCTGCTGGCCATGCCGCAATCGTCTGCGAAGGCCCCGAGCTCATGCAATGGTCTCGGCAGCTTACAAGCCAGCATGCGCAAGATGGGATCGTGCGCCAATGCGAATAACGAGCCCGACATCGGACACCCCTGCTTAATGCCCCTGGCCAGGGTGAAACCGTGCTTACGATTGCCCCTGAAAGAGACGGCGATGAAAACATTGGTGTACAGGCCCTGGATCGCTTTTATGACATGCCTTGGAAATCGCATCTTATGCAGGGTGAACATGAGGGCCGCGTGAATCAAGCTGGGGAACGCGGCTTTCACATCGAAAAATACGTAGCCGCACTTCTGCGTACCCTGCTGGACTAGCCAGTGAAGACACTTGGATTCCAGGTCCAGGATGTTTCCTAGCATCTGGCGGCCCCTGACAAAGCCCCGTTGTTGCTGAAAAACCACACGTTGGCAAACGGCCCCGAGAGGAATATTGATCGCAACAGAAACAATCTTGTTGTCCGTGTCCGAGAGAGGAATCGGCCGTGTAATCTCTGGGGCCCGAACCACGAAGCTCGCGTCGGCGGGCTCGTCGCCCTTCGCGAGAAAGACTGCCATGGCATCGTTGAAGTTGAGAGGGGGGGGGGGGGGGGGGGGGGGGGGGGGGGGAGCCAGCCTGGAGTATGTGGAGGTAGAGCGAGTAAAGTGTCCTGGTGGCCGTGTCGCCCGCGCGAGCCCATCCAGAGAACGGAATACCGTCGGGTCCAGGCGCACTGTCTGGAATCTGTTCCATCATATTCAAGAACTGGTCGAATGACAACTCCCAGCGGATCTCGGGGGGGACCTCTTGGACGAACGGTTCAAAGCACCTCAAAGCGTCCTGAGAGACAGCAGCCTTTTTGTGCACCTGGCCCCAGTACCTGGCGAGCTCCTGACAAGTCTCGTCAGCTTCAAACAAGGGTGAGCCTGCAGGGTCTGAAACATCGCCAAGGCCATGCTTGCGGTTCTTGGTCCTCCAGACACTCTTGTACGCGTACAGGGAGTTAATCTTGCCAGCCCTCTTAGCCTCTGAGATGTGCTCATTCTGCCTGATCTCCTCCATCTCCGCATCTAAAACCTGGTTCTGAAGACCTCCAAGAAACGCATGAAACTCAGTATGTCTAGTAAGACAGCCGTTTTTGAAGCAAAAGAATGAGTCGAGCATCGGGTGCGCCTTCAGGGCCCTGTAAAGAGGCGCAGAGCTGCCAGGCCTGACCGCGCGGAGAGCCGCAAGAGCCCACGAAAGACGACTGGCTTCTGAAACAGCCCCCAACTCCTCCAGGTCCCGCTTAAGAGCCTTGGCGGCCCCAACCAAACAGTCACGAACTTCGATACTGGCCTCTAGCGGGTCCTCGGACAGGCCACCAACATCAGCAATAGTGGCCTCGACAACCTCGGGGTACCTCGGGTGCTTGGTGACCCATGACGGGATGCGACTAGGGCAACTGGTCGAAGGCTGGAGCGAGAGCGTCACGGGTATGTGATCGGACAACTCCTTGAGGTCCGCCGGGGAGCCGAGGGTTTTGGACGCCGGGTGGAGATCGCAAAGATCACCAGCGGGAAAGCTCACATAGATGCGGTCCAGACGCCCCAGAGACACCACGATGTTGCGCTCATCTTGCCAGCCCTCGACCCTGTGCGTGAAAGAAGTGCCCTGGCCGCTGCTGACGAAACGTCCGTCAGCATGGTGAGACCCTTCGCCTCTGGCAGCAAAGTTGAAATCGCCGAGTAAAATCTGCGAGCAGCACCTCGCGGGAACAAGAGACCTCCGAACACGTCGAAGTTGATTTAGCTTGATAATGGGCTGATGATTGTGGTCGAGATGGGTTTTGATGATTTGCAGACAGTGTTTGTTGTTGTAGAGCGTGAGGCTATGTATACGGCCTTTTTCAATAATTACGTGCTCTGCGTGACGGAACAGCCTCTGAAGTTTGGGGTGAAGAAGGATAAAGCAGCCTCCAGACGTCGTCGAACCCAGAAATGTACCAACGCCAAAAGCTTGATAAACTTCCTTGCACGTATATTCAAGATGCCCCTGAGACCCACGAGCTTCCTGGATACAGACAATGTCATATCTGGAACAGAGTGATACTATCTTATCGTACTTAGCACGGTGAGAAGCCGCATAGGTGGCACCGAAAAGGGAGCGCACGTTCCACGTACAGATCGCAAAAGGCTGTTCAGGCACGAATGGCGCAAGCCCCTCGAAGTCAGGCCTGCCTGCAGCGGAACCACACGTAGATTAGGAGGAAGAAGCCCCAGATGCAGTGGCACTCGACGAAGAACCAGAGGAACTGGAAGAAGATGACGAGGAGGACGAGCTCGTGCCGTCGCTGGACTTTGAATTCTCAGTACGTCTCTCATGTAATAGAAGGGCTTGGGAAGACAAGATGATACCATTGGCAGCCCCAGCGGTCGGTACTTCACCTGCCCCAATGCTCGCAAGGCTGGCAGGGGGATCAGTGCGCGCCTCAGGGGTCGGTACGTCACCCCCTGCAGCGCCCGCAAAGCGAGGAGGATCCATGCGTGCCGCTGGGGCAAGAGAGGAAGTCGCAGCAATGCTCGACGTGCCAACTTCGTGCCCGTGCTGCAAAGCGGCACCCAACGGTGCACCAGAGTGTAGAGGATCAGCCCAGTACATGTCCGAGACAGCAAGGTCGTTTCCTAGCGTGGGATGATGACGGCCGCCATGGACTCGGCCTTGCGCTGGTCGGCGCCGATAGCCGCCAAATTCTCCAGCTCAGGTTTCACGTCGAACTGGTTCTGCTCAAGCTCCTCAACCTGGAAGAGCACGCTGCACTCGTCATTCTCAATCAAGAAGAGGGTTCCCTTGAAACCTTGTGAGCCCAGCTTCATGCCCTGGCGCCATCCGTTGACTTCCCGATGATGATCGGAAACACGCGTCCACAGCAGGCCGAGCGCCTTGTTACGACGTCTGACCGAAGATGGGGCATCCAACCGCGCCCGCATGGGAGTCTGCACGAATGTCTTCGGGTCCGTCCAGTGCATGCCCTTGGCACGTACCTGGTCCACGGAGTCCCTGGCGTTCATGTCAGATTCGAACTCGATACTGAAGGAGGAGTTGAGGTTGTGCGCCCGCGTCGAGAAGGGCACGTCCTGCGGCACGAGCCCCTGCTTCTTGATCGTGTCGGCGAAAGCGATCATAACTTTAGCTAGGGCTGGCCGAGGAAATCCGCCAATCCAAACCTTACACGGATTGCTCTCAGGCGTCGCAGTGCCACCATAGCTCTCGGGACCTGCAGTGCGAGCCCTCTTGGACCCAAGCGTGGATGCGAGGGTAGATCCACTGGCAGTCGAACGAGTGTCGTTGGCCACCTGTCCAGCCAACTCCTTCAGCTGCAGCGCGGTGGTGTCGGCTTGTGACTGCAGTCTCTTGATGACGTCGGATTCTCCTAGATTTGCCAGCGCGTCGCTCATCACGTCCGTTGTGGCCTGCACGCTAGCCAATTGCTCGGCGAGCACTTCGAACTTCTGATGGTGCGCAAAGGCCTCTTCCCTGATGGCCTTCATGTCACCGAGGTGGCCCTCGACCTGGGTCATGCGCGTGCCGAGTCCCTCGATGCCCGAGAGGATGCGGGCGAGCGTGTCATCACCAGGTGCCGTCGCTGCGCTGCCCGCCATGAGGCCGCACACAAACTGAGGCGGCTGGAGAGATGGAGTGTCCGCCTGGGTCTGACCCCAGATCGCCCTCTGAAGAGAGCTGCCACGCTCAAAAGGGGCCTGTCTTCAACTTGAGCCAAAATGGCTTGAGCCAAAATGGCTACGGAAGGAGGAGGAGGAGGAGGAGGAGGAGGAGGAGGAGGAGGAGGAGGGGAAGGAGGATGAGGAGGAGGTGCAGGAGGAGGAGGACCTCCCCATCCTCCCTTCTCCCCCGTCCCACCTGTGGTAATTAGTGGTGGACACGTGGCCCGTCCGACGTGGGCCCTCAAAGGGGAGAGCGAGGCCCCCCGTGCGAAGCGCCCCGCGCGCGTGTTCGTCGAGCGCGCGGCGACCAGCCCGTCTCCCACTTGGGCACGCCCGCGCCGCAGTCAAAGGGCAGCTCGTCGACGGAGCAGCCTCGCGGCGGCGCGGCGGGAGGCCCCCGCCTCGCCGCCGAGGGAGGGAGGAGGACCCACCGAGAAGGCCACATGCGAACCCAACGGTGGGGGTGTTGGATGAGGAGCCCTTGGGCAAGGAAGCCAGAGTCTGGAAGCCAGGGGAACGCCAATTGAGGCTGTGTCACGGGCAGCATCGCCGCCCTCATCAGATAAGGAATCCTTCAGGGCCTGAAACCGCCTAGGCACATTCCTGAACCAACGCCCCCACCGTACCCCACCACCCCACGATTTCTAAGGGGTGAGGTGGGATTCACTTCGCATGGGAGGTCCCGAGCGACGTGAATCCCACCTCCCCCTTAGCAATTGTGGGGTGTGGGGTGGTGGGGTGGGGCTCGCATGCGGTCTCCTACCACGCCCAGGCGGCGCGCCCAGGGGGTACATGAGAGGAGGCGGGCCTTCTCAGAAGGCTCGGAAGGTTCCCCAGCCTTCTGGGAAGTGGCCTGAACCCTCCCCGAAGACACATAACAAACTTCTCAGCAGGCCGGGAAGCTTCAGAGAAGCCCCGCAACCGTCTGAGAAGGCCTCCTCATTCTCACTTCTCCCTTCGCTCGCTGCGAGAATTCGGCCAACGTGGTCACAAGATGAAGACGGACGTGCTTCAATATTTTCGGCCCCTGGGGATCCTCGCTGGGCCCCAATGCCGTCAAAAAACGGCTCAGGATGAACAAGCGTCCCGGGAGGCCCAGATGGTGTTGGCCATGGTGACAACGATTGGGATAGCAAGGATGAGGAGGAGCGGAAGGAGGAAGGAGGAAGAGGCGAAGGAGGAGGTGGAGGAGGATGAGGGAGAAATGGGATGAGGCATCTGGACGCGGTGGGCACGCATGGTGGCGCACAAAGCTTCTACATCTGTATATATCTATATATATATATAGACATATATGCATGTACAAATATTATTCAAAAGGGAGGGATGGAGAGAGGGATAGAGAGATAGAGGAAGAGAGAGAGACAGAGAGACCTGGAGAGAGAGAGAGAGAGAGATCACGGGCAACATGCACACATTCGCACATGAATTTATAGATCTAGATCGGGAAAAATACTGTGAGAAAGAAAAGTAGAGAGAACAAGCGAGAGGGAGAGAGGGGATGAGGGAGTGAATAAGGATGAGGGTGATTGGGGGAGGACCAACTACATATGTATGACAGTCTGCCCGTATGTGTCTTTACCCACCGAGGACATCCAGAAGAGACAGAGAGATGATACCACAACAAGCGGGATCTATACACATGTATATATGTATATATATGCCTATAGAGAGAGGGCTGGATAATACAAGCGAGTGGTCGGTGTGCACGCACACACACACACACTTTTGATTCGCGGGTCGAGAGCGCACCTCTTCCGGTCGATGTGCACGCACACACGCACACACGCACTACCAGACGAATCTCCCCGAGGGAATAACAATAAAAGACTAAAAATTGTCGGCGGCGGCGGCCGTTCGGAACAGAAAGGCAGTCTCGCTTGGAGCATCGTCAAGCATCTGGAAAAGCGGTTGCATCCTCCAAGGCAGATCGCGACGACATGGTTAAACAGCATCTATCATGTCTGTCAGCTTGTATGTGTGCATACATGTCGTATGCATTGCAATTGGACCAACATATGTTTAAACGCCTCAGAGCACCATCGTGTTCAATGGTTTTGCACATGTCGCCTCGCCGTTTCTTCTCAACGCAAATCCACAGCAAGCCTTGCGTCCCGCGCCCCAGATAAGATGGAGCCAGCACCGATGCAAACCCACGGCGAACCCACCGCATCCGAGGCGGCGTTTGCCCTGGTGGCCGAGGCGCCATCCCCAAGACGTAAGGCCACGCGTCGAAAAAAAACGGCGCGGCGACACATGCTCTTGACTAAGCAAGGATATTCAATGATTTGACAAGTATTGCTCCAACTTCTGTCTAGCCATGTGCGCTTGTCCTGGCTAATTCGCCCGGGGCATCATCAACATCCCGAACACTGAAAGCGCCTCTCACGTAGGCCGCGACGTCACGGTTCAAACACACAGTGGTTTTCGTCACCCTACTGTCGGGAACTTTTGACTAGGGCAACCCGGCGGCGGCTCCGACGACTCGCTATGCTCTGCAAGCGGGTAGCGTGTCTCTGCGGTCCGCGTGGCGGGAGGCTGGGAAAAGCTCGGGACGTTGACGCCTGGGAACTTGTACGCGGCTAGCGTGTCGCATCTCGCGGCGCGACGCGCAAAACAAACGACCCTTTCCGTAACATTCAAAACATCAGAACACCATGTCCCCAACGATCTCGCGCACAGATCTTGCAGCGCCGTTTTGTTTCAATCATCTGAAATATCTTCCTCGAGCTGTGGTCAGTCCTTTGTTTCTCCGTGCCCGCAGAGGTTCCCAGCATTTCGTCCAATCGCAAGCTGCGGCAACCCATCTTTGACACCGCGCTTTCAAGTCCAGCAGCAGAAATGTGGGAACCCAACCCGAGCCAAACTCGTCACCAGGTGTGGCAACCCCACTTGCGCTCGACCGCGCCCTCGCTGCTCCGAGCACCAGACGGCGTCAGGTCAGCATGTCCTGCAATCTGGCCATCTACCAACTGCGTTTGTTGATATCCTGCAGCGACTTTTGTATGAGCCTTGGCAAGGACGTGCCGTTCTCTGTATACATAAGTATACATACCAGAATGTCATGGGAGCATAAAAGGTGACGTCTCTGCAGAGGGGGGAGAGAGGAAGAGAGAGAGAGAGAGCGCAACAATAGGGGACACAGGGGCAGGAACAATGAATGTGGAAGAGGAACGAGCATCATGGAGGGACACAGGGGGACGAGCGGTGGAGGAGAAATGAGGAGGTATGAGTGGGAAGGTGGATCAGGGATGATGATGATGATGATGATGATGATGATGATGATGATGATGATGATGATGATGCTGATGATGGTAATGGTAATGATGATGATGATGATGATGATAATGATGACGATGATGATGATGATGATGATGATAATGATGATCATGATCACGATGGTGTTGGTGGTGATGGTGACGATGGTGATGATGACGATATTGTTGATGGTGAGAGTGATGAGGAGAATGAGCGTGAATGGTCAGATGGATGGAGGAGGCGGCGTGCGATGATTGAGGATAATGGAAGAGGCTGAAGCAGTCCCACAAAGGGGCCGCACAAGAACAGCCCCCCCCAAGCGTCCGCACTCTGTTTGCTTTGCCTCGGTCGGTGCAGGCCCGGCTCGGGCACAGCGCGATGGCCGAGGACCCTGGGGCAGACTTAAGATGGACGGACGGATGGATGGATGGATGGGTGGATGGATGGATGACGCTGACGACGGCAATGGGGATGCTGATGATGAGGAGGATGGACGGTGAAGATAAGGATGATGATGCTGATGCTGATGAGGGAGTGAGGGAGTGAGGGGGAGCGAGAGAGAAAGAGAGAGAGAGAGGAAGGGAGGGAGAGGATGGAGCAGGGAGGCGGTGGAGGAGGGGTTCCCCCTTGAGGGCCCACGTCGGATGGGCCACGTGTCCACCACTAATTACCACAGGTGGGACGGGGGAGAAGGGAGGATGGGGAGGTCCTCCTCCGCCTCCTCCTCCCTCCTCCTCCTCCTCCTCCTTCTCCTCCTCCTCCTCCTCGTCCTCCTCCTCCTCCTCCTCGTCCTCCTCCTCCTCCTCCTTCCTCCCTTTGCGCGCGACCGACGAGCACTGCGAGGCCGAAGCTGGCTCGTACAGTCACAGCTTTGTGATGCCAACTTCAACGGCGGCGTGGTGCTCAGAGTGTTAGTGGTCGGTCGGCTGAGGAAGATTACCTGAAGTAGAGGACACGGTGAACGCCAACCTGTGCACGGCACCCGTGGCCCACGCAATCACGCGGCGCATTAGACAAGCAACGCTCACACTCTCTCCGTGTGGGCCCCCCTCTCTCTACTTCCTCCATCCAAGCAGCCTTCCACACATCCTCCACCCGAACATCCACGTCCTCCACATCCGCGGCCTCAGAGGTCCCAGCACTGTCCAGAAAGTGGGCCCCAGAGGCCGAAATCGAGGGATAGCGCTTGGATGGAACAGATCGTGTCGTCGGAGATCTGGGCACGCCCGCCCCAGGCGCTCCCAGCTGAGATGCCGCCGGTGCCCAGAGCTGGGGGAAGAGACGATGGCATGCACGCAAGCCTTCGGAGGTGCGCGCTGATGCCTCGGATCGGCGCTGGGCTGCCCTCCCTGGCGCGCGGGGCGCGCTGCGGGCGGCGCCACGGGGCGCCGACGGGGGGCTTCGAGCGCCGCTTGGGACGGGCGCGCCCAGATCTCCGACGATCTGGTCTGTCCTCCAGCAAACCTTCCGTTTGGGATCTAATGGACGAGCGCGTGCCAGGACTCGCAAAAAGCTACTGCTCGCAGGTGGCCTGGATCCGCCGGCGAGAGGGTCTGCGATGTCTTACGTCGAGGTGGCCACGTGCTCTTCGGACGTGTGCGAGCAGGTGCTTTGCAGGTAGTGGAGCGCGCTCGGTGAGCCTCCCCGTCTCGCACCGAGACGGGTCGGCAGGGCGGGCTGGGCGTTTTTCGCCTGCGACTGCCTCACCACTTCTGCTAGTGGAGCTTGAAGTTTGCAGCAATTTCGCTGGTGGGGGGGCGGGGGGGTTTTCCAACATGTGGCTTTCGCGTTAGCGCCGCGCACGCTCGTCTTTTAAAACATCGCAGGGTTGTCGCAGATGCAGAGTGGGCCGTTTTCAAAATTTGGCTCTCGCCGTAGAGCCGCGCACATTCGTCTTAACAGCTCACAGCAGTTTCAGGGATTCTTATGGCTGACGTCCCAGAAATTGTGTGCGTGGGTGTGGCACGATGTCGGATTGCCAGGGCGCGACAATCATGTTGTTTCGCGGTGCTGATGTCGGGGCTGTTCCCATTCGCTGCACGGTTGAACATTGTCTAACAGTTGTCTCCCAACGGGGCTGTTCCCGCAATGACGACCCTTATGGGAGCCACTGGAAAGGAGAATTTGGAGGGAGGGTTTGTTGCAACATCGTTGACGGACCTTGGGTTTACACTGGTCCTCCTCCTTGTCCTCCTCCTGCCTTCTTCCTCCTCCACCCCTCATGTTTTCCCCCCCCCCCCCCCCCCCCCGCCGCAATCACTCTCACTGGGGGAGAGCGAACAAGCCGCGGGCGCAACTCTCGTGACAGCGAGACATGCGTGTGCGCTCTGCGCACGGAACAGTGAAGGCGCCATCCTTTCGGGTACTCGTTCTTGCAGCACCAGTC